CGGTTTTAAAAAAAAGTGAATTAGTGATGAAGGAGTGAATTGACAAGACATACACCATTCGAAAGCTAATCGCCTGAGATTTTAGCATGGCAAGTTTCAGCTTTTTTGGAATCAAACTACGCCGACACTGGGCGAAACACTCTGATATTATACTAGACACCGGTTTTGAAAAAAGGTGAATTAGTGATGACGGAGTGAATTGACAAGACATACACTATTCGAAAGCTAATCGCCTGAGATTTTAGCATGCCAAGTTTCAGCTTTTTTGGAATCAAACTACGCCGACACTGGGCGAAAAACTCTGATATTATACTAGACACCGGTTTTAAAAAAAGTGAATTAGTGATGAAGGAGTGAATTGACAAGACATACACTATTCGAAAGCTAATCGCCTGAGATTTTAGCATGGCAAGTTTCAGCTTTTTTGGAATCAAACTACGCCGACACTGGGCGAAAAACTCTGATATTATACTAGACACCGGTTTTAAAAAAAGTGAATTAGTGATGAAGGAGTGAATTGACAAGACATACACTATTCGAAAGCTAATCGCCTGAGATTTTAGCATGGCAAGTTTCAGCATTTTTGGAATCAAACTACGCCCACACTGGGCGAAACACTCTGATATTATACTAGACACCGGTTTTGAAAAAAGGTGAATTGGTGATGACGGAGTGAATTGACAAGACATACACCATTCGAAAGCTAATCGCCTGAGGTTTTAGCATGCCAAGTTTCAGCTTTTTTGGAATCAAACTACGCCGACACTGGGCGAAAAACTCTGATATTATACTAGACACCGGTTTTAAAAAAAGTGAATTAGTGATGAAGGAGTGAATTGACAAGACATACACCATTCGAAAGCTAATCGCCTGAGATTTTAGCATGGCAAGTTTCAGCTTTTTTGGAATCAAACTACGCCGACACTGGGCGAAAAACTCTGATATTATACTAGACACCGGTTTTAAAAAAAGTGAATTAGTGATGAAGGAGTGAATTGACAAGACATACACCATTCGAAAGCTAATCGCCTGAGATTTTAGCATGGCAAGTTTCAGCTTTTTTGGAATCAAACTACGCCGACACTGGGCGAAAAACTCTGATATTATACTAGACACCGGTTTTAAAAAAAGTGAATTAGTGATGAAGGAGTGAATTGACAAGACATACACCATTCGAAAGCTAATCGCCTGAGATTTTAGCATGGCAAGTTTCAGCATTTTTGGAATCAAACTACGCCCACACTGGGCGAAACACTCTGATATTATACTAGACACCGGTTTTAAAAAAAAGTGAATTAGTGATGAAGGAGTGAATTGACAAGACATACACCATTCGAAAGCTAATCGCCTGAGATTTTAGCATGGCAAGTTTCAGCATTTTTGGAATCAAACTACGCCCACACTGGGCGAAACACTCTGATATTATACTAGACACCGGTTTTGAAAAAAGGTGAATTAGTGATGACGGAGTGAATTGACAAGACATACACTATTCGAAAGCTAATCGCCTGAGATTTTAGCATGCCAAGTTTCAGCTTTTTTGGAATCAAACTACGCCGACACTGGGCGAAAAACTCTGATATTATACTAGACACCGGTTTTAAAAAAAGTGAATTAGTGATGAAGGAGTGAATTGACAAGACATACACTATTCGAAAGCTAATCGCCTGAGATTTTAGCATGGCAAGTTTCAGCTTTTTTGGAATCAAACTACGCCGACACTGGGCGAAAAACTCTGATATTATACTAGACACGGGTTTTAAAAAAAAGTGAATTAGTGATGAAGGAGTGAATTGACAAGACATACACTATTCGAAAGCTAATCGCCTGAGATTTTAGCATGGCAAGTTTCAGCATTTTTGGAATCAAACTACGCCCACACTGGGCGAAACACTCTGATATTATACTAGACACCGGTTTTGAAAAAAGGTGAATTGGTGATGACGGAGTGAATTGACAAGACATACACCATTCGAAAGCTAATCGCCTGAGGTTTTAGCATGCCAAGTTTCAGCTTTTTTGGAATCAAACTACGCCGACACTGGGCGAAAAACTCTGATATTATACTAGACACCGGTTTTAAAAAAAGTGAATTAGTGATGAAGGAGTGAATTGACAAGACATACACCATTCGAAAGCTAATCGCCTGAGATTTTAGCATGGCAAGTTTCAGCTTTTTTGGAATCAAACTACGCCGACACTGGGCGAAAAACTCTGATATTATACTAGACACCGGTTTTAAAAAAAGTGAATTAGTGATGAAGGAGTGAATTGACAAGACATACACCATTCGAAAGCTAATCGCCTGAGATTTTAGCATGGCAAGTTTCAGCTTTTTTGGAATCAAACTACGCCGACACTGGGCGAAAAACTCTGATATTATACTAGACACCGGTTTTAAAAAAAAGTGAATTAGTGATGAAGGAGTGAATTGACAAGACATACACCATTCGAAAGCTAATCGCCTGAGATTTTAGCATGGCAAGTTTCAGCTTTTTTGGAATCAAACTACGCCGACACTGGGCGAAAAACTCTGATATTATACTAGACACCGGTTTTAAAAAAAGTGAATTAGTGATGAAGGAGTGAATTGACAAGACATACACCATTCGAAAGGTAATCGCCTGAGATTTTAGCATGCCAAGTTTCAGCTTTTTTGGAATCAAACTACGCCGACACTGGGCGAAAAACTCTGATATTATACTAGACACCGGTTTTAAAAAAAGTGAATTAGTGATGAAGGAGTGAATTGACAAGACATACACTATTCGAAAGCTAATCGCCTGAGATTTCAGCATGGCAAGTTTCAGCTTTTTTGGAATCAAACTACGCCGACACTGGGCGAAAAACTCTGATATTATACTAGACACCGGTTTTAAAAAAAGTGAATTAGTGATGAAGGAGTGAATTGACAAGACATACACCATTCGAAAGCTAATCGCCTGAGATTTTAGCATGGCAAGTTTCAGCTTTTTTGGAATCAAACTACGCCGACACTGGGCGAAAAACTCTGATATTATACTAGACACCGGTTTTAAAAAAAGTGAATTAGTGATGAAGGAGTGAATTGACAAGACATACACCATTCGAAAGCTAATCGCCTGAGATTTTAGCATGCCAAGTTTCAGCTTTTTTGGAATCAAACTACGCCCACACTGGGCGAAACACTCTGATATTATACTAGACACCGGTTTTGAAAAAAGGTGAATTAGTGATGACAGAGTGAATTGACAAGACATACACCATTCGAAAGGTAACCTCCTAAGATTTTAGCATGGCAAGTTTCAGCTTTTCTGGAATCAAACTACGCCCACACTGGGCGAAACACTCTGATATTATACTAGACACCGGTTTTGAAAAAAGGTGAATTAGTGATGACAGAGTGAATTGACAAGACATACACCATTCGAAAGGTAACCTCCTAAGATTTTAGCATGGCAAGTTTCAGCTTTTCTGGAATCAAACTACGCCCACACTGGGCGAAAAACTCTGATATTATACTAGACACCGGTTTTGAAAAAAGGTGAATTAGTGATGACGGAGTGAATTGACAAGACATACACCATTCGAAAGGTAACCTCCTAAGATTTTAGCATGGCAAGTTTCAGCTTTTCTGGAATCAAACTACGCCCACACTGGGCGAAAAACTCTGATATTATACTAGACACCGGTTTTGAAAAAAGGTGAATTAGTGATGACGGAGTGAATTGACAAGACATACACCATTCGAAAGGTAACCTCCTAAGATTTTAGCATGGCAGGTTTCAGCTTTTTTGGAATCAAACTACGCCCACACTGGGCGAAAAACTCTGATATTATACTAGACACCGGTTTTGAAAAAAGGTGAATTAGTGATGACGGAGTGAATTGACAAGACATACACCATTCGAAAGGTAACCTCCTAAGATTTTAGCGTGGCAAGTTTCAGCTTTTCTGGAATCAAACTACGCCCACACTGGGCGAAAAACTCTGATATTATACTAGACACCGGTTTTGAAAAAAGGTGAATTAGTGATGACGGAGTGAATTGACAAGACATACACCATTCGAAAGGTAACCTCCTAAGATTTTAGCATGGCAGGTTTCAGCTTTTTTGGAATCAAACTACGCCCACACTGGGCGAAAAACTCTGATATTATACTAGACACCGGTTTTGAAAAAAGGTGAATTAGTGATGACGGAGTGAATTGACAAGACATACACCATTCGAAAGGTAACCTCATAAGATTTTAGCATGGCAAGTCTCAGCTTTTTTTGGAATCAAACTACGCCCACACTGGGCGAAACACTCTGATATTATACTAGAGACCGGTTTTAAAAAAAAGTCAATTAGTGATGTCGGAGTGAATTGACAGGACATACACCATTCGAAAGCTAATCGCATGAGACTTTAGCACGGCAAGTTTCAGCTTTTTTCGAACCAAATTAGGTCCGCCCGAGGCCAAACATTCTGATATTATACTAGACACCGGTTTTGAAAAAAAAGTGAATTAGTGATGTCGCAGTGAATTGACAGGACATACACCATTCGAAAGGTAATCGCATGAGACTTTAGCACGGCAAGTTTCAGCTTTTTTCGAACCAAATTACGCCCGCCCGAGGCCAAACACTCTGATATTATACTAGAGACCGGTTTGAAAAAAAGTGAATTAGTGATGTCGGAGTGAATTGACAAGACATACACCATTCGAACGCTAATCGCATGAGATTTTAGCACGGCAAGTTTCAGCTTTTTTGGAATCAAATTACGCCCACCCCAGGCCAAACACTCTGATATTATACCAGGCACCAGTTTTAAAAAAAAAGTGAATTAATGATGCCGGAGTGATTTGCCAAAACATATACCATTCGAAAGGTAACCGTATAAGATTTTAGCATGGCAAGTTTCAGCTTTTTTGGAATCAGATTACGCCCACACTGGTCGAAACACTCTGATATTACCAGGCACCAGTTTAAAAAAAAGTGAATTAGTGATGTCGGAGTAAATCCTCACCAATCACATGTACAACTTCAATGTGGGCGTTTTGCTTGAATTGTTCGACAGGATCTTCCAAAAGAACCGAAATGTAAGTTTTTTTATTTTTCTCGGACACGTTTCGTCGTATAACTGCGCGTGCAGGCTACAGGGTTTTCGGTTCCCGCCGTTTGGGGTGGGAGACTTTTCGGTCCCCGGCTTTTCGGCTGGCGCCTTTTCGGTCCCTGGGCTTTTCGGGTGGGGACTTTTCGGGCGATGAGTAAAAAATTGTAAAATACGATACTACTGATCACGCAATATTGTAAATAATTTTAAAAAACGTTTTAATCCGTTTTTGGGGGTTTCGAGTTAGAATCACCCACCCTGCGACATTTCAATACAAAACTTCAAAATAACATTAGATAGAAGAAGTGATAAAAGTATAACATTATCAAATCGCCCATGAAGAACTCGAATTTCTATATGAAATTAGCATAAAATCCTACATTAAATCGGAAAATTCATTAATTTTCCTTGGTGGAATCGTTCAGAACATTCGCTAGTAATCTTATCATTTTCGAATTGTGTTATTATTGTTATTTTCCGTTTTTTCTTTTGTAATTCGTTAATTAATAATTATTAATAATTAATTTTTCAAATACTTTCTGGCAAAAATAAACTTCATTTTCGGATTCTTCTCGGTCGATTATCTAAAAGAATCTGTTTTTTAGCCGAACACCCCAAAAACGGAATAAAAAGTTTTTTTTTTAAATTATTTACAATATCACGTCATCAGTAGTATCTTATATTACAGTATTTTACTAATCACCCGAAAAGTCCCCACCCGAAAAGCCCAGGGACCGAAAAGGCGCCAGCCGAAAAGCCGGGGACCGAAAAGTCTCCCACCCCAAACGGCGGGACCGAAAAGGCGGGGACCGAAAGAGGGGGGACCGAAAAGTCCCGGCCCCGGGTTTTTTATGTTCCCAAATCTGTAAAACAAATCTAGATCGTGGAGGATAAATTACATCCGGATGTAATTAGCACGATGTCTCAGTGAATATCAAATTGTGAGCTTTTAAATTTCAGGAGTCGAGTGATGTCCTAGCCAAGCTCGATATTATCTATCAAGAATTGGTCAAAAGCACCTTTTACTATGTCTCCCGAGCTCTGTACAAACAGGATCGTCTGACATTTGCTCTACGGTTCGTGAAGGCTGAACTGTTCGATGATAAGGTAAGGGTTTCAAACTGTGATTTCTGTTTTTAGATGTTGTATTAGGTACCAGCGAAGAATTAGTTTAAAACTGCCGTCTTTGATAATTGTATTACCTAAATTCATGCTTATGATTTCCTCTTGCAGGAGTGGAACTTTTTCTGCGGCAACCTGGTGGATGAAGCGGTCTTGGACTCTGCATCTGCACCTTCTTGGCTGTCCGAAGAGGTTCAACTACAAGTCGCGAGATTACGAGTGTGTCTTTCTCTCTTTATTCACAATTAGGTTTGCAAGATCGGTCTTCATGGACAGACTATGCATAACAATAGTAGCCAGCTTCCGGGGCATATTTATCAGAAACTCAAATTTCCAGAAGGTTCTTCTGATCTCAACCGGAGAATGCAAGCACCGCAATGACGTCACTTGTTACGCGTAGTCTTCAAGTGCCATCGATTAATCCGCCATCCATTGAGCTCATAGTTGCCACCTAATCGGCCGATATTGCTGATCCTCGGTCTATTGAATAACGTCCATTTTCTACCCGATTTCTTACTCATGATTCACTCAGTAAGTTTTATTTTTAGATGTTATTTCTTTCAAGGTTTAAGCCACTAAAAGCACGTCTAATTTCGACTGCCTTTGAAGCAAAATTTATATTGTACTTGATATTAACGTCAAAAATTTTGATCTCAGGAGTCGCACACCAGATCTCCAAGTCCGTCCTTCCGTCTATGGCTGAGTGCAGAGCCAGACAACCAATTCCCAGCGGTTCCATTGCAAGACGCACTCAAGATTGCGTACGAGACGCCTCCGGGAATCAAACACAATATTAGCGGGACTTTGAAACAATGGATTGACGTGGAAGCAAATAGTGGGAAATCGGAGTTGGAACTAAAGACTCAATTCTTGTTGGCGTGGTTCCACGCTATCATCCAAGAAAGGAGGACGTGTATTCCACAGGTAAAGTTATGTTATCCATGATAAGATTTCCTTGAAATTTAGGGATGGCTAAAGTTTTACGAGTTCAATTCGAACGACTTGAGAGTTGCCAGACAGGTCCTTGATGTGATGGGTTCAAAGAATGGTGAGTTCTTTGCGTACTTTTTAGTTTTTTGTTGTTTAGGTTATAATTGGGAAGCGATTCGCGGATTTATAGAAGATGCGATATATGGGGGAAGAATCGAGAATCAACTCGACATTGGAGTACTGTCAGCTTACTTGGACAAGTTTTTGAGCCAAAAAATGGTGATGAGTAGAGATGGGGAACTGGATTCAAATCTTAGAATGCCCGAGGCTAAATCAATGAACGAGTGGCTGGATTTCGTCAAGAATATGGTGAGGAATGCCATACGAGTTTAGTAATATTGATACCATCCGTATGTAGCTGCATATTACGGTGTTGTGCGTTAGGGAAAGATTTGATCCATCTAGGGAAAGTCTTGACTCAGGTCTGGAAAACGATGTAATTGGTATCAGAAATGTCTCGAGGATGAATTACAACCTTTTTCAGATACCAGAAGAGGACAAGCCATCGCTGTTTGGCCTTCCCGAGAACCTTGGAGCGACTTATGAACTGGAACAAAGTCGGCAAACAATAAATTCCCTCAGGTCAATGCAGAAATATAGCCGATCATCGACACTTGAGGCCTTCAGTCAGTGGGCAAAGAAACTTCAACCAGTTCTGGCATTTTGGAAGCGGCTTCATCAACAGAATGACCTTCTTCAGGCAGAATTGAAGGATTCCGACTCGACTGACCCAATTATTGATATGCTAAACACCGAGATGCACTTTGGAATTGGAGTAAATAGTTACAGGCTGTTAGAATTCATGTATCAAATTTATATTGTTTTAGGTAAAAAAGATCCATTCGAAACTCTGATATTATACTAGACACCGGTTTTAAAAAAAGTGAATTAGTGATGAAGGAGTGAATTGACAAGACATACACTATTCGAAAGCTAATCGCCTGAGATTTTAGCATGGCAAGTTTCAGCTTTTTTGGAATCAAACTACGCCGACACTGGGCGAAAAACTCTGATATTATACTAGACACCGGTTTTAAAAAAAGTGAATTAGTGATGAAGGAGTGAATTGACAAGACATACACTATTCGAAAGCTAATCGCCTGAGATTTTAGCATGGCAAGTTTCAGCATTTTTGGAATCAAACTACGCCCACACTGGGCGAAACACTCTGATATTATACTAGACACCGGTTTTGAAAAAAGGTGAATTGGTGATGACGGAGTGAATTGACAAGACATACACCATTCGAAAGCTAATCGCCTGAGGTTTTAGCATGCCAAGTTTCAGCTTTTTTGGAATCAAACTACGCCGACACTGGGCGAAAAACTCTGATATTATACTAGACACCGGTTTTAAAAAAAGTGAATTAGTGATGAAGGAGTGAATTGACAAGACATACACCATTCGAAAGCTAATCGCCTGAGATTTTAGCATGGCAAGTTTCAGCTTTTTTGGAATCAAACTACGCCGACACTGGGCGAAACACTCTGATATTATACTAGACACCGGTTTTGAAAAAAGGTGAATTAGTGATGACGGAGTGAATTGACAAGACATACACTATTCGAAAGCTAATCGCCTGAGATTTTAGCATGCCAAGTTTCAGCTTTTTTGGAATCAAACTACGCCGACACTGGGCGAAAAACTCTGATATTATACTAGACACCGGTTTTAAAAAAAGTGAATTAGTGATGAAGGAGTGAATTGACAAGACATACACTATTCGAAAGCTAATCGCCTGAGATTTTAGCATGGCAAGTTTCAGCTTTTTTGGAATCAAACTACGCCGACACTGGGCGAAAAACTCTGATATTATACTAGACACCGGTTTTAAAAAAAGTGAATTAGTGATGAAGGAGTGAATTGACAAGACATACACTATTCGAAAGCTAATCGCCTGAGATTTTAGCATGGCAAGTTTCAGCATTTTTGGAATCAAACTACGCCCACACTGGGCGAAACACTCTGATATTATACTAGACACCGGTTTTGAAAAAAGGTGAATTGGTGATGACGGAGTGAATTGACAAGACATACACCATTCGAAAGCTAATCGCCTGAGGTTTTAGCATGCCAAGTTTCAGCTTTTTTGGAATCAAACTACGCCGACACTGGGCGAAAAACTCTGATATTATACTAGACACCGGTTTTAAAAAAAGTGAATTAGTGATGAAGGAGTGAATTGACAAGACATACACCATTCGAAAGCTAATCGCCTGAGATTTTAGCATGGCAAGTTTCAGCTTTTTTGGAATCAAACTACGCCGACACTGGGCGAAAAACTCTGATATTATACTAGACACCGGTTTTAAAAAAAGTGAATTAGTGATGAAGGAGTGAATTGACAAGACATACACCATTCGAAAGCTAATCGCCTGAGATTTTAGCATGGCAAGTTTCAGCTTTTTTGGAATCAAACTACGCCGACACTGGGCGAAAAACTCTGATATTATACTAGACACCGGTTTTAAAAAAAGTGAATTAGTGATGAAGGAGTGAATTGACAAGACATACACCATTCGAAAGCTAATCGCCTGAGATTTTAGCATGGCAAGTTTCAGCATTTTTGGAATCAAACTACGCCCACACTGGGCGAAACACTCTGATATTATACTAGACACCGGTTTTAAAAAAAAGTGAATTAGTGATGAAGGAGTGAATTGACAAGACATACACCATTCGAAAGCTAATCGCCTGAGATTTTAGCATGGCAAGTTTCAGCATTTTTGGAATCAAACTACGCCCACACTGGGCGAAACACTCTGATATTATACTAGACACCGGTTTTGAAAAAAGGTGAATTAGTGATGACGGAGTGAATTGACAAGACATACACTATTCGAAAGCTAATCGCCTGAGATTTTAGCATGCCAAGTTTCAGCTTTTTTGGAATCAAACTACGCCGACACTGGGCGAAAAACTCTGATATTATACTAGACACCGGTTTTAAAAAAAGTGAATTAGTGATGAAGGAGTGAATTGACAAGACATACACTATTCGAAAGCTAATCGCCTGAGATTTTAGCATGGCAAGTTTCAGCTTTTTTGGAATCAAACTACGCCGACACTGGGCGAAAAACTCTGATATTATACTAGACACCGGTTTTAAAAAAAAGTGAATTAGTGATGAAGGAGTGAATTGACAAGACATACACTATTCGAAAGCTAATCGCCTGAGATTTTAGCATGGCAAGTTTCAGCATTTTTGGAATCAAACTACGCCCACACTGGGCGAAACACTCTGATATTATACTAGACACCGGTTTTGAAAAAAGGTGAATTGGTGATGACGGAGTGAATTGACAAGACATACACCATTCGAAAGCTAATCGCCTGAGGTTTTAGCATGCCAAGTTTCAGCTTTTTTGGAATCAAACTACGCCGACACTGGGCGAAAAACTCTGATATTATACTAGACACCGGTTTTAAAAAAAGTGAATTAGTGATGAAGGAGTGAATTGACAAGACATACACCATTCGAAAGCTAATCGCCTGAGATTTTAGCATGGCAAGTTTCAGCTTTTTTGGAATCAAACTACGCCGACACTGGGCGAAAAACTCTGATATTATACTAGACACCGGTTTTAAAAAAAGTGAATTAGTGATGAAGGAGTGAATTGACAAGACATACACCATTCGAAAGCTAATCGCCTGAGATTTTAGCATGGCAAGTTTCAGCTTTTTTGGAATCAAACTACGCCGACACTGGGCGAAAAACTCTGATATTATACTAGACACCGGTTTTAAAAAAAAGTGAATTAGTGATGAAGGAGTGAATTGACAAGACATACACCATTCGAAAGCTAATCGCCTGAGATTTTAGCATGGCAAGTTTCAGCTTTTTTGGAATCAAACTACGCCGACACTGGGCGAAAAACTCTGATATTATACTAGACACCGGTTTTAAAAAAAGTGAATTAGTGATGAAGGAGTGAATTGACAAGACATACACCATTCGAAAGCTAATCGCCTGAGATTTCAGCATGGCAAGTTTCAGCTTTTTTGGAATCAAACTACGCCGACACTGGGCGAAAAACTCTGATATTATACTAGACACCGGTTTTAAAAAAAGTGAATTAGTGATGAAGGAGTGAATTGACAAGACATACACCATTCGAAAGCTAATCGCCTGAGATTTTAGCATGGCAAGTTTCAGCTTTTTTGGAATCAAACTACGCCGACACTGGGCGAAAAACTCTGATATTATACTAGACACCGGTTTTAAAAAAAGTGAATTAGTGATGAAGGAGTGAATTGACAAGACATACACCATTCGAAAGCTAATCGCCTGAGATTTTAGCATGCCAAGTTTCAGCTTTTTTGGAATCAAACTACGCCGACACTGGGCGAAAAACTCTGATATTATACTAGACACCGGTTTTAAAAAAAGTGAATTAGTGATGAAGGAGTGAATTGACAAGACATACACTATTCGAAAGCTAATCGCCTGAGATTTTAGCATGGCAAGTTTCAGCTTTTTTGGAATCAAACTACGCCGACACTGGGCGAAAAACTCTGATATTATACTAGACACCGGTTTTGAAAAAAGGTGAATTAGTGATGACAGAGTGAATTGACAAGACATACACCATTCGAAAGGTAACCTCATAAGATTTTAGCATGGCAAGTCTCAGCTTTTTTTGGAATCAAACTACGCCCACACTGGGCGAAACACTCTGATATTATACTAGACACCGGTTTTGAAAAAAGGTGAATTAGTGATGACAGAGTGAATTGACAAGGCATACACCATTCGAAAGGTAACCTCCTAAGATTTTAGCATGGCAAGTTTCAGCTTTTCTGGAATCAAACTACGCCCACACTGGGCGAAAAACTCTGATATTATACTAGACACCGGTTTTGAAAAAAGGTGAATTAGTGATGACGGAGTGAATTGACAAGACATACACCATTCGAAAGGTAACCTCCTAAGATTTTAGCATGGCAGGTTTCAGCTTTTTTGGAATCAAACTACGCCCACACTGGGCGAAAAACTCTGATATTATACTAGACACCGGTTTTGAAAAAAGGTGAATTAGTGATGACGGAGTGAATTGACAAGACATACACCATTCGAAAGGTAACCTCCTAAGATTTTAGCGTGGCAAGTTTCAGCTTTTCTGGAATCAAACTACGCCCACACTGGGCGAAAAACTCTGATATTATACTAGACACCGGTTTTGAAAAAAGGTGAATTAGTGATGACGGAGTGAATTGACAAGACATACACCATTCGAAAGGTAACCTCCTAAGATTTTAGCATGGCAGGTTTCAGCTTTTTTGGAATCAAACTACGCCCACACTGGGCGAAAAACTCTGATATTATACTAGACACCGGTTTTGAAAAAAGGTGAATTAGTGATGACGGAGTGAATTGACAAGACATACACCATTCGAAAGGTAACCTCATAAGATTTTAGCATGGCAAGTCTCAGCTTTTTTGGAATCAAACTACGCCCACACTGGGCGAAACACTCTGATATTATACTAGAGACCGGTTTTAAAAAAAAGTCAATTAGTGATGTCGGAGTGAATTGACAGGACATACACCATTCGAAAGCTAATCGCATGAGACTTTAGCACGGCAAGTTTCAGCTTTTTTCGAACCAAATTAGGTCCGCCCGAGGCCAAACATTCTGATATTATACTAGACACCGGTTTTGAAAAAAGTGAATTAGTGATGTCGCAGTGAATTGACAGGACATACACCATTCGAAAGGTAATCGCATGAGACTTTAGCACGGCAAGTTTCAGCTTTTTTCGAACCAAATTACGCCCGCCCGAGGCCAAACACTCTGATATTATACTAGAGACCGGTTTGAAAAAAGTGAATTAGTGATGTCGGAGTGAATTGACAAGACATACACCATTCGAACGCTAATCGCATGAGATTTTAGCACGGCAAGTTTCAGCTTTTTTGGAATCAAATTACGCCCACCCCAGGCCAAACACTCTGATATTATACCAGGCACCAGTTTTAAAAAAAGAGTGAATTAATGATGCCGGAGTGATTTGCCAAAACATATACCATTCGAAAGGTAACCGTATAAGATTTTAGCATGGCAAGTTTCAGCTTTTTTGGAATCAGATTACGCCCACACTGGTCGAAACACTCTGATATTACCAGGCACCAGTTTAAAAAAAAGTGAATTAGTGATGTCGGAGTAAATCCTCACCAATCACATGTACAACTTCAATGTGGGCGTTTTGCTTGAATTGTTCGACAGGATCTTCCAAAAGAACCGAAATGTAAGTTTTTTTATTTTTCTCGGACACGTTTCGTCGTATAACTGCGCGTGCAGGCTACAGGGTTTTCGGTTCCCGCCGTTTGGGGTGGGAGACTTTTCGGTCCCCGGCTTTTCGGCTGGCGCCTTTTCGGTCCCTGGGCTTTTCGGGTGGGGACTTTTCGGGCGATGAGTAAAAAATTGTAAAATACGATACTACTGATCACGCAATATTGTAAATAATTTTAAAAAACGTTTTAATCCGTTTTTGGGGGTTTCGAGTTAGAATCACCCACCCTGCGACATTTCAATACAAAACTTCAAAATAACATTAGATAGAAGAAGTGATAAAAGTATAACATTATCAAATCGCCCATGAAGAACTCGAATTTCTATATGAAATTAGCATAAAATCCTACATTAAATCGGAAAATTCATTAATTTTCCTTGGTGGAATCGTTCAGAACATTCGCTAGTAATCTTATCATTTTCGAATTGTGTTATTATTGTTATTTTCCGTTTTTTCTTTTGTAATTCGTTAATTAATAATTATTAATAATTAATTTTTCAAATACTTTCTGGCAAAAATAAACTTCATTTTCGGATTCTTCTCGGTCGATTATCTAAAAGAATCTGTTTTTTAGCCGAACACCCCAAAAACGGAATAAAAAGTTTTTTTTTTAAATTATTTACAATATCACGTCATCAGTAGTATCTTATATTACAGTATTTTACTAATCACCCGAAAAGTCCCCACCCGAAAAGCCCAGGGACCGAAAAGGCGCCAGCCGAAAAGCCGGGGACCGAAAAGTCTCCCACCCCAAACGGCGGGACCGAAAAGGCGGGGACCGAAAGAGGGGGGACCGAAAAGTCCCGGCCCCGGGTTTTTTATGTTCCCAAATCTGTAAAACAAATCTAGATCGTGGAGGATAAATTACATCCGGATGTAATTAGCACGATGTCTCAGTGAATATCAAATTGTGAGCTTTTAAATTTCAGGAGTCGAGTGATGTCCTAGCCAAGCTCGATATTATCTATCAAGAATTGGTCAAAAGCACCTTTTACTATGTCTCCCGAGCTCTGTACAAACAGGATCGTCTGACATTTGCTCTACGGTTCGTGAAGGCTGAACTGTTCGATGATAAGGTAAGGGTTTCAAACTGTGATTTCTGTTTTTAGATGTTGTATTAGGTACCAGCGAAGAATTAGTTTAAAACTGCCGTCTTTGATAATTGTATTACCTAAATTCATGCTTATGATTTCCTCTTGCAGGAGTGGAACTTTTTCTGCGGCAACCTGGTGGATGAAGCGGTCTTGGACTCTGCATCTGCACCTTCTTGGCTGTCCGAAGAGGTTCAACTACAAGTCGCGAGATTACGAGTGTGTCTTTCTCTCTTTATTCACAATTAGGTTTGCAAGATCGGTCTTCATGGACAGACTATGCATAACAATAGTAGCCAGCTTCCGGGGCATATTTATCAGAAACTCAAATTTCCAGAAGGTTCTTCTGATCTCAACCGGAGAATGCAAGCACCGCAATGACGTCACTTGTTACGCGTAGTCTTCAAGTGCCATCGATTAATCCGCCATCCATTGAGCTCATAGTTGCCACCTAATCGGCCGATATTGCTGATCCTCGGTCTATTGAATAACGTCCATTTTCTACCCGATTTCTTACTCATGATTCACTCAGTAAGTTTTATTTTTAGATGTTATTTCTTTCAAGGTTTAAGCCACTAAAAGCACGTCTAATTTCGACTGCCTTTGAAGCAAAATTTATATTGTACTTGATATTAACGTCAAAAATTTTGATCTCAGGAGTCGCACACCAGATCTCCAAGTCCGTCCTTCCGTCTATGGCTGAGTGCAGAGCCAGACAACCAATTCCCAGCGGTTCCATTGCAAGACGCACTCAAGATTGCGTACGAGACGCCTCCGGGAATCAAACACAATATTAGCGGGACTTTGAAACAATGGATTGACGTGGAAGCAAATAGTGGGAAATCGGAGTTGGAACTAAAGACTCAATTCTTGTTGGCGTGGTTCCACGCTATCATCCAAGAAAGGAGGACGTGTATTCCACAGGTAAAGTTATGTTATCCATGATAAGATTTCCTTGAAATTTAGGGATGGCTAAAGTTTTACGAGTTCAATTCGAACGACTTGAGAGTTGCCAGACAGGTCCTTGATGTGATGGGTTCAAAGAATGGTGAGTTCTTTGCGTACTTTTTAGTTTTTTGTTGTTTAGGTTATAATTGGGAAGCGATTCGCGGATTTATAGAAGATGCGATATATGGGGGAAGAATCGAGAATCAACTCGACATTGGAGTACTGTCAGCTTACTTGGACAAGTTTTTGAGCCAAAAAATGGTGATGAGTAGAGATGGGGAACTGGATTCAAATCTTAGAATGCCCGAGGCTAAATCAATGAACGAGTGGCTGGATTTCGTCAAGAATATGGTGAGGAATGCCATACGAGTTTAGTAATATTGATACCATCCGTATGTAGCTGCATATTACGGTGTTGTGCGTTAGGGAAAGATTTGATCCATCTAGGGAAAGTCTTGACTCAGGTCTGGAAAACGATGTAATTGGTATCAGAAATGTCTCGAGGATGAATTACAACCTTTTTCAGATACCAGAAGAGGACAAGCCATCGCTGTTTGGCCTTCCCGAGAACCTTGGAGCGACTTATGAACTGGAACAAAGTCGGCAAACAATAAATTCCCTCAGGTCAATGCAGAAATATAGCCGATCATCGACACTTGAGGCCTTCAGTCAGTGGGCAAAGAAACTTCAACCAGTTCTGGCATTTTGGAAGCGGCTTCATCAACAGAATGACCTTCTTCAGGCAGAATTGAAGGATTCCGACTCGACTGACCCAATTATTGATATGCTAAACACCGAGATGCACTTTGGAATTGGAGTAAATAGTTACAGGCTGTTAGAATTCATGTATCAAATTTATATTGTTTTAGGTAAAAAAGATCCATTCGACCTTGACCAACATCCGAAAAGGCCTTGCGGGCAAGCTTGCCCCCACTGCCAAGACAGTTCAAGCCGCGAAGACACTGTTGGACCAACAAACCCCGGTGGATTGGGATCTAATCTGGCCGGGACCCGAGGATTGTTACCAGTACATGGAGAAGGTGTGCGATAAGGCCAGAAAGGTCAAGAAGTTGAGCACCTCAATAAGTGGACAGGATCTTGTCAACGAACCCATAGATTTGGACCACCTTTTCCGGCCGACAGCCTTACTAAATGCCCTTAGGCAATATAATGCAAGGTGGGTGGAAAATCGAGGAAATTATGGGGATTACGGCAGTTTTTGGAGTGGAAAGTGTTGTAAATTTGATGAAGAGAGTTTTTTAGTTGAGCTAGAGCGGTTACGGTAGTTTTACAATAACAAAAAAAAATTTTTTTTTTGTTGATTTAGTCTACTACAATAAAACTTTTTTTCAGACACCTAAATGTTGGCGTGGACAGACTCCAATTCGTCGCTAGCTTGTCCAAAATACAGTCCAGAGCCCCCTCGATGCAGACTGGCCAACTAAAAATTCAGGGCGCCGTTCTGGGAGGAGGCCATTTAATGGCTGTGGGCCAGAATTCTGCAGCGATTTCTTCGGCTCCGGTCATACATGTGGCGTGGATTGGAATGGTAGGATCAGTTTTGGGGTGTGGGGGATGTTTTCGACAAAATTGGATGATTTTTTTATTTTTTAGGATGAACCCGAGCCATACCGTCAAGAAGAAAGCGCCGAAATCCCATTGTTTGTGGCCTCAAACCGAACGGCGATTGCGTTATTTACCCGGATTTGTATTCAAGTATCATACGTCATATTTTGTAGTTTTATTTTTTATGATTATATTGTTGTGTGATTGCATGATCTCATTGAATAAATAGAAGGTAATTTGTAGCTTTATGTTAGATTTTTTCTTCAAGACCGAGTAGATTGAGCTTGGAGGCAGCTGGGAATGGTCCTCATCAAACAGGATCTGAATTTTCTGCTTGGATTTCTTCAAATTTTTGGCGAGATGGTCCATCTGGAAGTAAAACTTTATAAAAGTCATCATGTGCAATATCCAAAAAAATTTAAATTTTAGACAAAAAACTAACTAGACTACAAGATCGAGTCCCAAGCGGCCATTAGACACAGAGGCTTTTTGACGTTTGTTTGAGAAATCCACTGGCCGATAACTCATTCCAGTTTAAAGTTTCTTCTCCATATATGGCTGGAAACAGTGAGAGTAAAATTACATCAATTTGAAAAAAGATTTTTGCCATTTCCCGATATTACACATGACAGAAAAGGAACATCTGGTTGAAACAACTTACAATACTCCTTATTTGGGCTGATCCCATCCTCAGAAAATCCGTCAAAGGGTCGAGTACGATCTCGGACCAAGAGAATTCCAGATATACTTGTAGAAGATACCAGTTTTGATAACAACTCTCTAAAAGAAGAATAATATAAAAAACACTTTACCAAAATTTAGCGCAAAGCTCAGCGGCCAAGCCCTTACCTTGTCAAATCATCCACAGCGACCAGTGCTATCAGCTCATTGAATCCCCATTTCAAACCTTTAACGGCCGTCTCAATCTCTGCGGATTCCTTGATCTCAATCAAAATACCAACATTTCCTTCTCTCCCAGCTAAATTCATTCAGAAGCTGATAAAACGTTGAATCACTAAGCACAGAGGGTTGCCGTGGGCACAAAACGATCTAAAAGTCCGTAAACATTAAAGAATGCATCAAAATCAAAAGTAATCAACCAGAATTCATCAAAAACGCACCAAAAAAGTGGCATGCATCGCAAACATTCTGTCCATGGTCGTCCAGACACCCACAAAATTCAATGAAGTCCTCCGAAAAATCATAACGCGTTGCAACGTTTCAAGAATTTTGCCAACAAAAAAAATTGAATAAAATTGGAAGAGAAAAATCAAATTCAGCCACGAATTCTCACAAAAAAAAACAAAATTTGCATATTCGAAATTCACCAAATTTTCGTTTTCATTTTTCTCATTTACCGGTTAAGTTCCGAAAGGAATCTGGTTTCGCTCACGCTAGATCACCATCATTATGGCCAGCACAAGCACCACCTCATCCCGCCATTCCGGCGATGAATCCGCCGTTCAGGCGATGGCCCCAACTCCAAACACCGCTGCCGTCCCGGTGTTTGGGGTTGGGGAACGGTCGACGTGTAAGTCCAGGGGATTTTGGGGTTTTTCGGGGTTTTGTTGATTATAAGCGGAGATTTTAAAGTTGGGAACTTCTCAACAAAATAACAGGAAATCCGTCTTCATAGGTGAATTGAAATTTCCAATCATCTGGCAATTCCTTTTGACATCTTTCGTCTTCTTTATGACACCATTTTTAGCACAAAAATCCTAAAATAATGATATTGTAGTACATGATGACAATGGATTTTTTTGGGTATTTTGATGACGAAGTTCCCACTTTGAGACCCGCAACGTGGTTTTAAGTTGATTTGAGATGATTTACTTTGAGCTTAGAGGCACTACTATGCAAAAATATTTAAACTTTCTTCGTTCGTCTACCTGATATCAAGCACAACATAATTTTGAAGACAAATACTCACAAAAGAGCTCAAAACAGTTGGTTATGAACGCTGTTTGTCTCAATTTATTTGATTTGAAACTCAAAACTTCTTTATATTGGATTTCACCAGTAAAATAATGAAATTTGATATGAATTTAAAAAAAAAAAAATCGGATCCATTTTTGGCTGGTGGGTTTCTACCGTAAATCCCGCCAAAAAGGATACTAACTAGGCCTAATGGCCCCGAAAATACACCAAAAGGCCTGATAATATTCCAGGCGAATACCACACTAAAAAGCTTTCTAAAGAAAGTAATTTCATGGCTGGTGAGGATTACTGTAAAGCCCGCCGGAAATCGCCATTGTGAAATTATTGTGAAATACAGCCGAAATTGGCCTTGATACATTTGTTGCAACGCGATGGATCGACTCAATTCGAACGCTGGAAGCTTGGTAAGTCTGATTTCTTGAGTTTAACAGTTTTTAGGACCTACAACGTCGTATGAAGAAGATCGTACACACAAAAATTGAGGGGTGAAGGTGAAATTTTGGGCATTTTTAGCCATTTTTTGCCGTATTTTAGACGAAATTCAGAAAATGTTCGAGCAAAAAACAATAGGGCATTTCGAACATTTTAAAAAACCAAGTTTATTCAACATTTCGATTTATTTTTAGATAGTCTTTTTGAATAAAAGAAAATTCTTGAGCTTTTTTACACCCCCTCAGGCAATAAAATCAGATTTAACAGTATTTACCAGCTGGCATAAATCTAAAAAAAAACACAAGTATTCGTAGGGTTTGTGGTTATACTTTTGTTTTGCCCCGATTGACTTGATTTTTGGCATGGTGGTTCTTTTAGATGCTCTCTTTGAGTATTTGAAAAAAAATTTCGAAATTTTCAATTTTGAGTGACCTATGACGTCATGAAATGTCGAAACTTTGAGCTACCATATCTCGCTTCGTTTTATAGGTATCGACTTGATTTTTGGTTTCGTCGCGTATGGTACATAATGGGACAATCACTGTCGAGATTTTTTCGAAATTTCAAATTTTACGAAAAAAATCTCAAAAAATGACCTTTTTTCGTAAACGTTCGACGCGTCCAGCTTTATTGAAATGCAAGCTTCTACAGGTCCATATCGGGAAAGCAAATTCATAACTAAGAGATATCTCGATGTATGTGTAGATACGGCCATGTACAAAGTTACACTTCCAGAAAACCCCGTCATGATGACGGATTTTCTGGATTTTTTCAATTCCATTAAATTCTACGTACCAAACTTCGTATTTGGTCGTGCCTTTCTTTTTTGTAGTGAACTTCGTATTTTAGCCATGGCTTACTGTAGAAAATACGATTTGCACAGTGCAAAGTTCGACAAAATGGTTCTCGGCTCCCAGGTCGAAATTCAAAAAAATCACTCGCAAATCTTATTTTTTTTGCCCGAAGATTGCCCTCAATTGTTTTTGGACCTGTAGTCATCGTCATCTCTCAGAACCAGTTTCGCCAAAAAAAAGTCGATTTTTCAAATTTTTCAAATTTTCAGTTTTTCAAATTTTTACCCCGGACGGTCAACAACAATGTCAAAAGTGCCCAACTATAGATTGTAGAGCTCGAAGAGCTCCAATTTACCCGCTTACACCACGTTCGTATCTCTCGAATTACGGCCCCCAGAGCGGCCGGAAATTTCGGCCGAAAAATGGGCACCTTTTTCAAAAAGATCCCCTCAGGGCAACAAGCGATGTTTGAAAACTTGACTTCCTGGATGTGATAGTAGACAAACCAAACTACCATCATGCCAAGTTTCAGGTCGCTGCGTTCCGTATTCGCTGTGCACTGGGTCATCAAAAAAATTTCGAAATTTTGGCCGAATTTGGGCCCTCAGGGCTTCAGATGGAATTTTTTTGAATTTTTATTTGTTCTGCCGGGTTCAGTAGGTTAAACTGCTATAGAAACGACAATCGAATTCTAAAATACGACCAAGCTGCGAGAGGAATATTAGAATTACAAAATTTTTGGATTTTGCTTACTTTGGCGAAAGTTACATTATCTGAAAAACAAGGTCGAAATCGAAAAATCCCGCTCTCAGGTGCACTTCGTATTTAGACTTCGGAGAAGTATGCAAAACCTCAGTTGTAACATCCAACTTTTTGGTAAGATATTTGGAACGAAAAAAAAATTTCAAAATTAACATAATCACAGAATCGACCAAAACTCAAAAATTTCCAACCAAAATTCGTCTAAAAGTTACATATTCGGAATCTCCATGTCATTTTGGATATAGTCGTATCTTTTTTCCCGGTACTTTTAGTGCAACAAGTGCCAGTTTTGAAAGAACGCCCACTTCCATGACCGAAAACACAAGAAAAGAGCGCGGCGAAGAGAGAGAGCGGGCAGAGAACCGTTTCCTTCTTCGTTTGGCGGGAGAAAAAAGAGAGTGAGAAAGGGGTGGAGGGTGATTAGACAAAGGTTTTCTCTTTCGATTTCGGTCAGAGATAAGACGGAGAGAGTGCTGAGTGTGAGGAGGGTGGTACGGAAACTGTCATCGTGACGCGTAATGACGGGAATTTCTGGATTTTTTTTGAGAATTTTTGTAAAATTATTTTTTGGTCCTGGATTCTCGGGATTTGGCCGTTTTAGGGCCAAATTTGACGGGGATTTCGGGAAAAATATTGGATTTGGATAATTTTGAGTGCTGAGTCTATCTTTTCGAGGTTTTAGTTGATTTTTCCTTATTGTATGAGCTTCTGATCAAGTTTTGGTGGAAGGAAGATTGTTTTAGGTAAAAAAATGTAGTCTCGCGGCGGCCGTAGGCCGTCGCCTCATGCCGGCTCTTTAACCCGGCTAAGCGATCTGGGACTGACTTGGCGATTAGGGTAAGCTTAGCGATCTGAACTTTTTGACCTAAGACAAGGTCGGCTTAGCGTTTTGAACGCCGAAAGTTGCTACTAGGCTCAGTCTAACGCGTAGCGTTTTTCTGCCGCGGCCGGAGGCCGTCGGCAAAGCTTTGGCGAGCGTTTCTTCCGCAAAAGCGAATTTTCATCACAATTTATCTTCAAAAATGGCTCAAATCGTGCGCAAAGCAGCGAAACCGGGCGCAGGGTTGCCCGAGAGACGTGAGCAGCCGCAGGCTGCGAAGTCTCGAGCCCTAGTCCTGACCCTAATTTTAATATAAATTTGAGTCCAAAACGTAAAATTTTTTCCTGAATTTTGCCCTACACCAAATTATGAACAAGACCCCAGTCCCAAATCTTCGAACATCTTACCGAAGCCTCCAAAACAACGTCAAGAAGGTCCTTGTCATCAATGAGGTGTCAAATCGGATATTATCCATGAAGATCAACTTGCTACCGACGGAATCAACTCCGATTCATCCAAACAGATTCTCATCACTTCAGTGGCTCAGCAACAAGTCGAAGATGGATCAGTTCTGACAACTTGGGCAGTTCCAGCACTGTATCTACGACGGCCCCGCCTAAAATAGAATCTTCTTATTATAAATGCCGTTTTCATACTGTATTGGTCATAAATTATTATTATACATAGTAATTTGGAATATTCTTGGAGCCAAAAATCGCCAAAACAAACACTAAACTATTCACTTTCATGGCCAAAAATGGTCTTACATTTATGTTTTACTTCAATTGCCATCCACTTCCATCTCTAATCCTTGGACCAGGTAAAGATTTTTTTGACTTCTTCCAGCCGTTTCAGTTGTTCCAGTAATTCCAAGATCAACATCTCGATGGGTCATGTCCTCCCATCCACGGTCCCGTTGGAGCCCTGAAACATCAACCATTACAAATGGATATCCATATCTTTTTAAAATTGTAATTGTATTGGTTATTTGCATAAATACTTACATTACTTTATATTCTCCGTGTCAACTTTTCTGACTTATAACCGGGGTTTCCTGTAAAGCACCACATGACGACACGACGAAGCACCTGGACCTTCTCATTTGGACCAATTCAAGTAATGGCCTGACTGTTGAAGATCGTCATCTGCTGGACCATTTCTCCGATGATTATTAACGGTTAGAGTCGCATTAGACAAATTCCAAGGGGTGGGGAGCTCGTCTCGTCCATGGATGGACGTTATTGAAGTTGTTCTTGGCCTTTGTCCTCGTTCTTCTTGTCCGAATCTTGTTGAATGACTTCTCGAGGTGTTCTGTGCTGTTCTCCAGGTGGACGTGATTTCTCGTCGTTATGGCTCGTCGAATTTACGGTTTCGTGCCGCGTGGACTTTTTCAGAGACTTTACACATCGGCTAAAAAACCGTGTTCATCATCTTCGCTCAGTCTTAACATCAAAAAAACCCAGCAACCCGACTTACCGACTTGACCAACATCAAAATTCACCATCATGACATTGGACTCTACTCTTTGGAGTTATCACCTTCACAAGACTTCAAAGTGTTCGCAAAAAAAGGTGAAGGATCATCGATCACCCAAACATTCCATTCCATCAGCAATCCACCATCAAATTTGTTTTTACGGCAGGACTCCAATTGAAGTAACGAGCCTCAGCAATGATTTCCTTGGCCTGAAGATTATTCATGACATCAACACCGTCTTGGACATTATCGAACAGTCAGTGGATATCTGGAATGAAGCATTAAAAAGACGAATACAAGGAAAAAACCGAAATTACAGAAATTTTTAGACGTTTTCGCCCATTTGACCCCTGGACTCACCTTATTTTAGCTCAATTCGAACATCCAAACGCCAAGCTGACCATTTTCTCTTCATGAATCCAATCCATTACCCGTTTCCATGATCTTCACGTCGACATCACCACAAGTCATACAAAGGTTGTCCATCCGCACCTAATCTTCTTCCATCGAGGAGCAACCATCATTTTGCTTCGGATCACTGCCATTAATTTCGTCTTATCTCAATTTCTGGGGTCCTTTTGAAGGTTCTCCTTGTTCCACGTTGTCGTTTGATCCGATCTTCGGGTCATTCAGTGTTCTGCAGCTTTCGAGCTGCTTTGCTGTCGATTTCCTGATCACCACTTTAAAATACGCCTTCCGGTCGCCATCAACATAAAAATCAGCTTGTTTTTCTTGTAGTTAGTACGGTTTTCGTCGCTGCACTTCAATCTGGATGGAATTTCAACATCATTGGACTGTTTTCTGGACAAATGGACAATTCTTCACAGGACTTTGAGTGAATTATGGAATTTTCGGCCACCGTGGCCTTCAGAATCAAAATTATGGATCTCCAGCATCAGGATCTGCACCTAAAAGCAAAAAATTAAATAGGGAAAATAGACAGAATAGGCTATGTTAGGGCCCTTAGCGATGTAGTTACCAGTTTTAACCATATTTTTTAAAAATTTTCGTCTAATTTTGGTGATTTCAGTGTCTCCAAACAACGTCGGCCAGGCCTCCGGCCACCGCTCGAGCCCAGCATCCGAGCGCCAAGCCCATTCCGCGCAGGCTGAACAACTGCCGGCGGTAATGGCCCCTCCTCTGGTTGGCCAGCACCCAACCGGCGTCCCAGAGGAGGGTAAAGAGGGGTCAAGCAGTACCACTGGCCCCTCGGGCTTCGGCCCAGAACCTGCCCCAACCGACCAGGCCGACCACCTGCCGGCGGTTGAGGGCTCGGAACGATCATTGGACATGGACTTCTCGAGCTTCTCGAACTGCAGCTCCAGTACGAGTGAAGAGCACTCCACGCTGCACGACGTCCCCTCGATAAGGTCACTTGAAGTCTTCGATGAGGGAGCAGCCTGCGATGAGACGTTAGCGGATCAAAACGACCGCCTCCGATTTCAAAGAGACTTCTGGAAGACCCAATGCCGCACACTTTGGGAACGACAAGAGACGTTCGAGAAGAAGGTCAAGTTCTACCAAGAAGCCCTGGTAGAGGCGGAAGTTGAGGCCAAGAAGGCCAAAGAAGCAGCCTCCGTCGCCACAAAAAAGGCCGAAGAAGAAAGGGCACTGAAGGAAGCGGCAGAAAAGGAAGTCGCCGAACTGCAAGCCCGCCATCGGCAACACCTTCGGACAGCAGTCGCCGACGGCCGGCCACCAAGGGCCGAAAGATCGAGATCCAGAAGCCCGCTGATGACGCTGAGGACAGCGTGGTCAATAACGCCGACAACAGCAGAGATCCTAAGGATCGAAGTCACCCAGCCCCCAGCGACCCAACACCCGCCGCCACCCGCAGATCAGGGATATGAGGTCCAAGAACAAAACCACGAGGCTCCTGGGCCTTTGCGAAGAATGGCGAAGTGCAAAAGGCGATGTTGTTACCAGCCCTCAGCCGACCCTCAACGGCCTCGGCCCCCGCGAAGGTCGAGGGAACTTCAAGGACTTGGTCCAGTGCTTCAAGAAGAGGATAATTGCCCAGACGAACACACGCCACGAAGACGCCCACGAAGAGAAAGAAACCCTCCTTCACGGCTCATCGTGGACATGTCAAGCCGATCGTATCGGACTTCACAAGAGCCCAGGCTGCCTCGTAAGTCAATTTTTTCGATATCTTTACCATTTTTACCCAAAAGCCCTTCAAAAATTATCAATTTCGCATTTTTTCAAACGCTATATTTACTATCCCAATTTTAATCAATAACATCAAGATTTTTTTCAGATCGAAGAATAGTAAATCCATACTAAGTGGTCAAAAACTCAACACGGCGCAATCGCACAGTCACTCATGCCTAATCACGTAAGCTTTTCACAGCGTCCCTCCAATAATCCTAATTTTTTAGCAATTTGTCCAATTCAACCTCGAGAAGCAACAACGAGATCACGGGTCGATAAAAATGCTTGCCCCAAACCTTTGTTCGACCGACTGGAACGCGAAAAAAGTAAGTTCGCCAAAACTATTTTTGCGAGCTGCGCCCGAGAAAAGAACGATTGCTTTTTTACGCTGTTGGATTTTGGTGGCTTTTGGACGAAAATGGTAGATATAATATGATTATATTTTCAGATGGAGACCGGTCTAAAGGGAAGATAAGCACCCTAGCCCCCCGAATGAGCCCGGGGGGCCTTTGGAAGAAATACAGGGTGCCATCTTCCCCTTGTTTTGGTCAATTTTCGGCTGAAATCCGGTAAGTTTTCGTGTTGAATTTATATTTTTCATTTTATTTTTTGCAGATCTCGTTCAAACGAGATTGAACTGGGAAGGAGAGAGCACCCTCGCCCCCTGACTGAGCCCGGGGGGGCTTCTGGATCATAAAAGGGTGCTCTCACCCGTTTCCATCAAAGTGGAAGATGTTCCACTTTGATGGATGGTCAAAACCGGAGCACCCCGGCCCCCCACCTCATCCGGGGGGCCTTCTGGAAAACAACGGGTGCTCGGCAAGACCAAACGAGGTAAGATTTTGTTGTTTTTTGAACTGTTTGACCTTGAGTTAGTATAAAGTAATATAGTCTACTATCTTCAGACGAAGGCCGGTCCAGACCAGCGTGGATCCGGCACCCTCGCCCCTTGAATCAGCCCGGGGGGCCTCTGGAATCAAAAAAGGGTGCCTTGGTCCACTTGTCATGGTCGATTTTGTGGATTTTGGACTAAAATGAGGTAAGTTATCATGCTGAATTTATAATTTTGCCTTTAATTTTTTTCAGAAATCCCTAAAAAGGAACACTGAGGGAACGGTGGAGCACCCTAGCCTTGAATGAACCCAGAGATCCTCTCTTCAAGGCCCGCCACCGAAGCCTTGAAGAATGAAAGAAAAAAAATGTAAAAAAGTAAAAAAAAAATTAAAAAGGCCAAAAAAAGCCAAAAAAAAAAACAAAAGCCAAAAAAACGAAAGGCCAAAAAAAGAAAAGGAAAGAAAAAGAGCCAAAAAATTTCAAAGGCCAAAAAAGAAAAGGCAAAAAAGAGCCAAAAAATAATAATAAAGGCCAAAAAAAGATAAAAAAAAGAGCCAAAAAAATAATAACAAAGGCCAAAAAATAAAAAAATACATTTTTTGAAAAAAAAGAGAAAAGCCAAACAAAGGCAAAAAAGTAAAAAAATTAAAAAAAAAAAAAAAAAAATAAAAAAAGAAATTGTAACTGAAATTCAAGTAAAAATTGTTTAGTACCCGGCGAAGTCAGCGAACACAATCAATTGTTCCCAGCGGATGTCTACGATGAGACTATTGCCCCGGCCTGCCTCTACGCCCGAACACTCAAGTTCTTCAGCTGTTCAAAGCCCTCGGAACTCATCCTAAGGTAAATTTTGCCATGGATAACATAAAATTTCTGACAGGAAAGTACTTCTATGGCGTATGGAGTTACAGGTCGAGTCATATGTCAAAAAAATCGCAAAATCTTTCTGATTCAGATGTAAAAGTTAGCTGCCTAATTTTGCTTTGTAAGGGTGAAGGAATCCTTAGACGCTTTCACGCAACACCACGCAAATGCCTTTTTGACAACGTTTTTACCAAATCAAAAGCTTTGTTTTGAGCTAAACTGAACCTTGGCATCTTGACAAACCTTAAAATATCAGATTTGATTAATACGACACCTTTATTAGTAGTTCCAATATAAAAAAAGGGCATTTGTGTGGTGCTGCGAGAAAAGTTCTGAGGATTTTTTCACCCTGACAATCCAAAGTCAGGCAGCTAACTTTTACATATTCTGAATCAGAAAAATTTTACGATCTTTTTGATCTATGACTCGACCTGTAACTCCACACCCCGTAGAAGTACTTTCCTCGTCAGAAATTTCAAAACTTTTCTCCTAATTACGGAGAATTTTCTTGGATGGGGAAAGAGTTGACTCATCTTGGTCAAGTCTTCCTCTCTAGACGAAAAATGCAATCTTGCATAGATTTGGTTTGTTGCAGGAGGAGCGGGCTGTAACAAAATGTTGGGAGCTTTTCTGAATCAGTATTATAGTGTTCGGTTAATATTATTGATCTCTTGCCACGTATAATATAATTTATCTTTGATCCTTTCAGAATATTACCCAATCTTCGCCGTGGAGACTCGCGAGTACCTTGAAAACCTCCAGATTGATCTTCATCACTTCCTCGAAGAGTTCGTTGACTTTGCATGTTACAACAAGGTGATTTGAAGGGAAAAATGGAAGCAGTAAGTTCCATCAGCCAATGTTTTCTTTTTTGCTTGGAGTACAGGCGAAGTACTCCAAGTGCGACGCTCAGATTTTCTTAAAATTTTGCACACACGTCGGGTATGGACTAAATATCAATTCCTGAAAGTTTTAGCTCGCGCTTTGCTGGCGCCGCCGAGATATCGAACGATTTTTGCCGCCGAGAGAGCACGCTAAACGTGGAGAGCGGTCAGAGAGAAAAGCGCTTTTTGGCCATAACTTTGGCAGTTTCGCGCGGAAAAATTTGATTTTTTGTAGAAACATTATCCTTTACAGTTGAAATAGGCATGAAACTTTTCGTGCCGAAATTCGGCAAAAAGTCCTAAATTTTCGCCGACTTTCGATCTAAAAATCTCGGTTGTTTGTGCTAAGCGCGAGCTAGGATTGTCGCAAATTATTCTAAATTTGTGCTAAGTTTCATCAAAATCTGAGCGTCGCGCTTGGAGTACTTCCCCTGTTAGTTTCGGGATGTTAGAGTAGCTGAGCCGGCTTTCGAATAATTATTCGGGACAGGTTTCATCGTTTATAATGAGCTTTTACCGTTTTGTTTGGTCTTTGCGCCTTTTAATTGCCAAAAATACTATGTCCTTACTATAGATGCGCCATTTTTGATACACATTTCATACACAGTTACACAAACATATGTAATACATGTAATTCATGACTATAGGGCTCTAGTTTTGGGCAGAGAATTTTATGGAGCTATAGACAGTAAACGCTTTTGGACACGTTGGCCCTTGTTGAGGGGTTTAGAGATATTTTTATAGGGCTGATGTTTTACGTTGTTTTCAGTAATTTTTTTTTAAACTTTTCAGAGAACCTCTCTCTACAAGGTCCGCCACCGAAGGAATAAAAGAAAAAATGTAAAAAAAAGAAAAAATATATGAAAAAGGCCAAAAAAGTAAAAAAAAGAAAAGCCAAAAAAAATTTAAAGGCCAAAAGAAAAGAAAAAGAAAAAAAGAGCCAAAAAAACTAAAAGAAGAGCCAAAAAAACAAAGGCCAAAAAAAAAAAAAAAAAATACTAAAGGCCAAATGAAAAGAAAAGGCAAAAAAAAGCAAAAAAAAAATATTTTTCGAAAAAAGAGAAAAGCCAAAAAAGGCAGTAAAGTTAAAAAAAAAAAAATTTGTATCTGGAATTCAGCGAACCCAAGGGAGTTGTTCCCAGCGGATGTCTACGACGAGATTATTGCCCCGGCCTGCCTCTACGCCCGAAAACACAAGTCTTTAGCTGGCCAAAGCCCTCGGAACTCATCCTAAGGTAAATTTTGCCATGGATAATATAAAATTTTTGAAAATTTTTAAAACTTTTCTCGTAATTACACCTGTAGTCATTCCACAGATTATTTGAAAGACTTACTGATCGCTTTATTTCAGACCCAAGGATGACAGATGACACCGATCCATCAGTAGTTCGTCTGGTCTACAGTGGTGTTACAGTTTTTGCCCATCGCGGAGTCCTCCATTGATCTTCGCCCACGCCAATGAATTGGTCTATGGAAGCAGTAAGTTGTGGAGATTGAGGACGGAAAGGTCCGCTAAAAAAAGGAAAGAGGAGGGCGGGGAGAGGGGGGAGGTTTTTGATGACGCTGATTTCGAAAATCGTATCCATTTTTTCTGAATTTTACAATTTTGCTTAAGCCGTAGTGTCTAATGTTTGATTGTGAAGACTAAAAAAGCGTCGGAAGTTTTCTCACAAGATCATAGAAGTTTTTACCAAATAAAACATTTATTTTGAAGGATTGAAAAAGATATAGGCAAAAAATCAGAAGAAATGGATACGATTTTTGAAATCAGCACTATCGAAAACCTCCTCTTTCTTTTTTTTAGCGGACATTTCTGCCCTTCGTGAGTTGTGGCTGATGTTTATTGTATTACTTGCAGAGATCTTCAAGCCCCAAGCTACGGAAAAAAAACTAAAAAAAAGATTAAGAAGAAGAAAAAAAAGAAAAAAATTGGTAAAAAAAGAAAGAATAAAAGAAAAAAGGAAGGAAAAAAAGAAAGAAAAAAGGAAGAAAAAAATAAAAGAAAAAATTGGTAAGAAAAAAAGAAAGAAAAAAAGAAGAAGCCTCATCGCTTCCACTCCCACCACTTCCATTACTCGCCTTCTTCTACCACTCCCACCACCCTCCTTTCCTTTTCCCTTTCCCCTCCCACTCCCTCCCCTTCACCCAATCATCAAAGCCTGCTTTGGTGATTAAAGTAAGTTGTTTTTTTCCCAATTGTAGGCCTTTATTTCTTGTTATAAGTCCAGATACTGCTCGTTCTACTTTTAATCTTATTTATTTTCATGGAAATCATCGAGAATCCGTTTCTTGGAGCCCTGGAGAAGTTGGAGAAATCAATGGTGCCCTGGAGGTCCCCACCGCGGAAAGATCAGAAAGGTATGTCAATTGGGACTGATAAAATAGGGGATCGAGATCTAGAAGGGATGCTGCGAGCATTTTAAGTGAATAAGAGTTTAGTTTTGTAAAAGAAGCCCGTCATCACGGTATATTTTTTGAAATGTTACGGTAGAGATAAGGGTTTTTTAAACTCTGATTTTTACTGTGGTGTGAAAGGTTTACACTCAGGTTTAGAAGCGTAAAAATATAGCTAGGTGCTATTTTTGTTTTTGATTATTAGATACATATGAAGTTTGAGGGAATTAAAAGACGTGAGGTGCCGTAAAAAGCATTTTGTACGAAGTAATGACCAGTTCTTGTCATTAATAATGTGGTCATAACGGTACTGGGATATTTTTATATTGCTGATGAGATGATTAACTTACCTGTTTAATTTTTCGCTTTTAAATACATTTTTCTTTCAGAAGTACGTCCAGTATGACCTTATGGTTGAAGAGCAAGCTAGAGTGAAACTGGAAAACAAGTTACTTTCCGAGCCCTGGAAACGGTCGATTCCTTGAAGATGCACAGTGCAATTGTTTGGAGGTAGGCGAAACTTTGTTAACAGAAGGAGGTTTGGTTGATCGAGGGCTAGAAATCCGTTTGAATTTGGATTCGAATGATGTATTTGCTACATTCGTCGCCGCGGGGATATAGGGCTCGGGGTCTTTACTTTTCATCGGCTCTGCGAATTTGTTTTGAAAAAAGGCGTTCAGTATGCCCTGCTGAACGTCTTTTCGCAAATCGGTTCAGCAGTTTCTTCTGTGAGATATTTCGTGAACGGGAAATGGCAAAAGCCGTTCATTTTGTGAATTTTCGTCCTGTTTTTTTTGTAGATTTCGAAACCGTCTGAACTAGTTCAGAGCAGAGATTGCCACGGCTCCGGAGCCGGAAATGTTGGGTGCGGCTCCGGCTCCCGAGCCCAAAGTCGGAGCCAGGCTTCTCAGCGGTCAGAAAAGTAAAAATTTCGTGATCTTGTTAAACCAAATTGCTCAAAAAACACTGCGGAGAATGCGTTGCGTATGACTTGGCTGCAAAAACCTTGGCTGTATTACCTCTGGCACTAGCAACGTTTATTTTTGGGAAAATATTTTTTTAAAATTCTTTGCACGGGAGCCGAGTTTCGGAGCCGCAAACCTTTTTAAGCTTTTCGTGGGAGCCGGGAGCCGAAATTTTGACCGTGGCAATCTCTGATTCAGAGTCGGTTGAACTAGTGCAAAAAACCGAGGTCTTTGACCACGTGAACCTGTTCATTTTTCTTTGAAAATTTCATAACCGGTGAGTTGGTTCAATGTTTTGTGAACCAATTCAAACATTGAACCCCCTTTCCAGTCGGCTCTGAACGGGTTGGACACCAGTTCAAACCGTGAACGGTTTATTGCAAAAATCGTTCACGATTTGAACTGATTTTGCAAGAATTTCTCGCGTTTAAACACATTTTTCTTTCAGAATGACCTTTGGGCATGCTTATGGTCGACGGGGAAGCTAGAGTGATCGGAATCGAAGAACAAGATAGCCCAAGAACAAGACAGCGAAGAACCGAGCCCTGGATTCCATGGTAACATCCGCTTCATTGAGGATGCGCTGTAGTTTTGAGGTAAGCGGATCTATGTTGGTAAAGAGGGACTTTGGTTGATTTAGGGCTTGAAATCCGTTTGAATGAGGATTTGGGCTATTCCGATCAGAGATCAGGTCATTTAGTATTGAATTATGGCGTCATGGAAATTTTTTTTGACCTTTTTGTATGATTCATGACATCAGGTATCTGCTGGGTTGACGTTTCCGTGTCTGATGTAAAATAAAGGAGATAAAGTAAATCTAAATACGTTAAAAGAGGTATTGAACTAATTTTGGTTGATCTTAGGCGTTGTGATGACGGTTTTTTCGAGATTTCTGTATTGCTCATGAGATTATGGACCTTATTTTTGAGTTGTTGGCCTTTTAATCCCTTTTTTCTTTCAGGTTCCTTCAATTACCACTAGATTCGACCAGTCCAGGCCACTTCCCAGCCAATAAGAAGGATCTACAAATCTAATTTTATCTGTTGTTGTTGTTTTTTATTTGTTTTGTTTGCTTTGAAAGGGGAAGGGGAAATGGGAGAAAGGGGTTGTGTGAAGAAGGTAGGTGGTAAGAGTTGGTCCGAATGATTCAATAGGCCAATTTGTGTCGAATTTTTGTTCGGGTAGGTGTTTAGGGGTTTTCGAGCGGTTCTGTATGCAAATTTATGCTGAATTTTTTTATTCGGGCCCCGTACAGAGGATACATACATCTTTATATTGATGGTTTAGTCCGAAAGTGAGGGTACCCTGAATATCTTTAGGTTTTTGGCTGGGAAAGACGTTGAATTATGCATGGGTTTTCACGGGTTTATCTACCGGATTAGGTATCCCCTGGGGACATTGGGAAGTTTCGGCCTAGCGGGTTGATTTTCTAGAAGGGTAGGATGTATACTTGGGGTTGGGATAGCTGCAGCAAGGGCAGTTGGATTAGTTCTGTTTATCTTGTGCTCGGCCGTAAAAGCGCCATTTATATCGGTATTGTGTTGTTTGGCTTGTGTATCGAAGCCGAAAATGGCGGATTCATTAGCGAAAACACCTGGAATTGGGCCCTGGGTGCTAGTCCGTCTGGAAGGCTGCCGGACTGAAGTCGGCGACACGTGCTGTGCAAAAACAAAAGCTTTCTTTGCAGTGCAATTTCTTGCTTTTTTGGGATGGCTTTTCATACGGTGCCAGCGCCAAAAATCAGCCCGGCGACTTCCCGGAAGGACTATTAGCGTTTTCACGAAGTGCCTGTACATTTTTTGCGGTCCGCACCGTGTACAAAGCCCACGATTTTTTGCACCGTGCATTGTAATGATGTGGATGTGAGCGCGAAATTGTCGAGGTAAGGCCGACATTTGCGGGCACTGCAGGAAAAAACAAGCACACGGATTGTGTTGGAACTTTTGGAGCTGTTGCCCGCAATGTCGGTTTCCCGCAAGTATTGCCTGTGCGTTTGGAATATCGCTGCGACGTAGGGTTTTCTCAATTGCGCCGCAGCGATTTTGATCAAAAATGTGCACAGTGCAATCGGCTTTTTTGAGGTTTGCACGGTGCGCAAAGGCAAAATTGCACAGTGCGTTGGCAACAAAAGTTCAAGATGCACTGTGCGACAGCGAAAAAATGTCCAGGCACTTTGTGAAAATTCTAATACCCAGGGTCCCGCTTGTTGGTAAGCGGGAATCCGCTGGCCTGGTCTTCGGCTTCCAACGCCGTCAGTGCTGCATCGCCTATTTTTATCCGGCCAGCTGTAGAATGATTGCAAATTGGGCACCGGGACGTTTATGGGCTCCCGAATTTCCTCGCAGGTTGCGGAAGTGTTCTTCTTTCTGGTAGCAACAACCTGTTGTAGAAATCATTTTCTATGCTGTGACGATAGCGTAAGAAAAGCGGTTCGCCCATAAACGACTCGGGCAAACGGGCCCTAGTAGATTCAGACAAATCGAGCTTTTTATAGAATTAATTCAGAATAGCTGGGGCAAGAAAATTTTGCAGTTGTCAGACCAGCTTACAACAGTCTAAATGGAACTGTTGCTGAATTTTCATCCATGAATTCTGCCGGGTTACCTTCGATCCGAAGGTTTTCGGGTCAAAGTCAATCATAAAAGGGTATTTGAAATGGAGTTTCTGCATTGACTCGTATTCTGCTTTCTAAGACCTTTTCTGTGGGCTGGCAACTTTTCGTCACAAATTCAACGGTCTCTTAATGATATAACTACTTTCAGTCATCTCTTTCACTCTAATTTTATCTTGGGTCATCATTGATGTCTGGTATAAAATCGATTTGTTAACAAAAACACCAGGCAGTATTATCAAATCATTTGATGCTCTCCCTGGTAGTAATGATCTTGTCAATTCACTTCAACACCTTAAATTATCCTTGGTCACCATTGATGTCTAGTATAACATCGTATTTGTTAGCCCCCACGAGCACAGTTCTGGTAAGGAAAACATGAGACTTATGCTGATTTGACAGTAGCTTGCATTAGCCGTGTATAGAGCTACATATAAAAAATCGGGCCCAATCGTTTTCCGGGTTATCAGTTTATTTTTGAGTAATGAGGGGTGGAGAAAAAATAAGATTTGGGAGGATGAGATCAATCGAGTAATTTCGGAGGGGTAAATTGTCTGTGTTCTCTATAAATAGTGGGAGTAGTAGAATTTTGGAGAATATATAATCTGAATTGGGCTATGAATAAAATATCAAGTGTAATATCAACAACAATATAATATGGGGGATAATTGAGGGGTAGACGGTTGGGGATAACAATGAACAATCATGGCTAACAAACAGAGTATATTTGGAGATGGGATCCCGGCAGTGAGGCCGCCGACTACGCAAACAAGATTTGAAAAATAACAAGTAAAGGAGTGGTGGGAACTGAAAAATATTCGAAGAAAGTAACTAACAAGTACAGGAGGATGCTGAGATTCGGGGAGTATATTTCTGTGGGGGTTATTTTGAATGTACATCAGACTGTGGTTCGGCGAGAGCGCTCCTCTTCGGCCGTCGGAACTCGGTATTTTCGTGGAAGACGACCGTGACGGACGTAGTACCGAGCCTTTCGCGGATTGTCCAGGAGTTCATTTAGGACCACAAGAGCACTGAAAGTAGATTGAGTTATGTTGTGAACTCAAAAACGATGAAAATTATATTGCACTTCATGGCTAACATAAAAATTACATCCTTAATATAATTAATCGCCAAATCTTGCCTTACAAACTGATAGACACTTGATTTGAGTTTGATTTGCTTTATGAAAGCGTTTTGGAGCGAATTTGGCGCAAAAATTATATTATACTTGACATCAGATAGAAAGCTGTCATGTGTAATATAATAAATATCCCAGTCTAGACATAAAAACACATAAAAGGGCATTAAGGCTACTTCCTCACTTCATATTTGCATTTTGAAACTAATTAAGGCCAACAATTACATTACACTTGATATCGGATGTAAAAATGTCACGTTTCCTTACATTACCTATCAAAATGCCATCAATAATACAATTTCCCAACTTCAATTTTAAACCAAAACCTTACCCATTAACATAGAACTCCACGGCGCATGGGGTCTTGTTGAAGTCGGGGCTGGCTCCTTCGCTCCAATCCACGTTGTACATGCATCTGACGGCGCAAAGAGCTCGCATTTGGGAGATGAATCGCTAAAAAAGCAATGATATTCAAAACTCATTGAATTTTGCCGAAATCTACCGTGGATAACCTCCACATCACAAGCTCCCAATTGCTTACCTCTCCAGTCTCGTCGCTGCCCGTTTCGTTGCGAACATTCTCCCGGTGGGAGATCCAGAAGCACATCTGATGGAAGGCCTGTTTGAAGTCGTAGACCTTCATCACTTGGCCCTCGCTCAGGGTGTGGCGTCGGTCGTTGGGTGTGAAGGAGTCTTCGCGGTCCAGGTAGCCGGTTGTGACCAGGAGCCCGCTCGAATTCACCGATTTTATGTAGACGTCGCCTTCGCGCGTGGTCTCCACCATAAAACCACGGCCGATTCGCGACCTGGAATACGAGATATCAGAAACATTTTGTGCATACATGATCAATATTCAACTGAGCATCTGATCCAACGAAAAATTTTCTAGAAATTTCAAAAAATATTGTCAAAGTGACACATTTTTTGAATTTGCGTCCAAAAAATATTATTTTTTCTCAAAAGTATAATTTTGCGTCGAAAATTCGTTGTAAGCTTATATAAAACCACTCTATATTGAACTTGACATCAGATCTAGCACAAAATTTTTTAGAATTTCCAAAAATTCCGTCATCATGACATGTTTTTGACCCGAAACTTTTCCCTCTAAAAACCAATTTCCTTCGCCGAAAAAACCAATTGCAAACCCCTCCTTACCGATTATAATTCAAGAATCGTTGCAAATTCAACGGCATTTCGTTGTCGTCTTGGCTGATCGCCTCAGTCAGACTGAAGAAATCGCAGAGTTTATGCTCCATGCTCGGCGGCATCACGCCCACAGCGACCACCGCATTCTTGCCATGGAAGGTCGGGCCGCGTTGACGGCCCAGCTCAAAGTATTTGAAGGAACAGGTCCGGTCGAGGCCTCCGCTCGCTTCTTCTTGAGCTGAAATTGAGGAAATTAGGATATTTAAGAGCTATGAAAATTTTGGATGAAAAATTTTTTGTGTCAGAAAAGGCATGCAAAGACCTTAGAGAGCCCAAAAAATTAATTTTGAACCTTTTCCAGTGTCCTAAACACCTTCTCCAATATTATTTTAGTCACTTACGAGGCTTCTCAGGAGTTGTGTATTTGGTGATGTCATGGTTGAACATGGCACAGATCAGCTGTCTCAGCGCATCCTCAGGTGATTGTTGATCCAAAACAGTCACCAAATTCTCCAACGGCTCGATTATGAACTTCTCGGAGTCCTCCAATTTGCCGATGACGTCATTGATGACTTGTCGGATTTGTGGGACCACAGCTCTTGGCTCCATGCGAGGAGATCCCAAGGAGCTGGCGGGAGTGTCAATCATCCTCTTCGAGTTGGAGAATCGTCCCAAAATGGCGGCAATTTGATCGGATAGCTCCGTCTTTGCACTGTGCATGTCGGCCAGGGCGTTTTTGACCAAATCCGGGCTGACCTGCGGTCCCATGTTGCTGCACATCTCGGTGACCAGCTCCATGAAGACGGTCGCACTCAATGGATGCATTTTGCAGAACATCCGCAGGTCATATCCCTCCGAATCGACCGTATTTTTATTGTGTTTGTTGAGAGTCAAGTCCAACATGAGGCGATCCTTCAAGGTCTTGATGGGATCATGACTGCTCAAGTCCTTCTCCAACACCTCCTCAATGGACTTGGCGGGCATTGCGGCTTGGGTTTGGCTTTCCGGGTTCTCCGGCTGCTCGATAACGAGCAATTGTCCGTCCGCGTCCACGCCCTGGTTATGGTAATGTTGGGTCAATTTCTTGGCCAATTCCTCCACCTTGGCCGGGGCCATCGGCGCCGCCTGAGTGCTGATGGGTTCTTTGTGGGAGGCCTCGTTCTGCAATTGCTCCGTTTTCTCGCGGACGATCGCTTCGAACAGTTTCTGGGCCACGTTATCGGCCATCTGTTTTTGGGCGGAATCTTCGGCCAGAAGTCCGGCGGACATTTGATTTTGAAGTTGTGGGGTCTGCAAGAATCCCTGATTAATTCCAATCGACGGGCTGATCAAATTCTTCTTCAGGAAGTTCTGTGTGGCCGCATTTAGAAGGAGAGTTTCGGCCAGACTCGTATGGATAAGATCGTTGTTGAATGCGGCGGCCGAAGTGACCGCGTCCACGGTGTCCGTGTTCACAGTGATCTGCGAAGTGGTTGCGATCATCTTCTCCTCCTTCATTTCGGCCTGTCGCTTCTGCAGAGTGCGCATTATGTCTTCGGGCGGGGTGGCGATCATCGGATAGTGCTCGTCGTTGCGGCTTCGCTTCGGCTTCGAGTGCTTGTCCACGTTGTGTGCGGGGTCGGGAGGGACGGCGACGGTGGCCGAAGGCTCGATTGGCAGCTGGAAGCGCATGTCGTTCTGGAAGGGGCGCTTCGTGTAGCGCGAGGCGTGGGACATCATCGGATTGCCCAAATCGACCGTCACGCTCTGCGGGATTCGCTCGTAATGATAGGGGTTCACACACACATGGTCCGCCTTGATGTCAAAGTTGGTCTTGCACAGCGAGAGGCCGCGAATCTCGTTCTTGTGGAGGTCGGCCCAACGGAAAATGCGGGCGTACACCACATGAGGAAAGCCCTTTCTTCCGGCCACCTGAAGTCGTCCATCCAAGGTGCGTGGGATCAAAATGCAGCCACCCTCATGCCGACCATCTGTGGTGATCGCCTGAAGCAAATTGTCGATGTCGTCGGGACGATCCTTCAGCTTTTTGATCAAGCTTTCGATAGCTTTGCGGGAGAACTCCGCTTCGTGGCTCTGATTGAATTTCATCAGGAAATTTGTGATATTGGAGCAGGAATCGGATGAGTTCGGATGGCTGATCCTCTCGTCGGCACTCGGCTGAATGCGGGTTTGGATTGTCGGAGGACGAGAGGATGGAAGTGGGTCGGGCTGACGACGGGGACGGCCGGGACCGCGACGAATCGGATGCTTGTAAGTGGTGACTTGAGCGGAGGAAGAGGCCGCCGGCAATGGTTGGGACTTGTTTTGGTTGATGATGGTCGAGAGATTTGGGAGATTCTGAATAAATTTAGTTTAGGCCGGTTTGTAAAAAAATGCGACAACTGATTATGGTGGTTTTCAAATCGCAAGCCAGGTCATGAAACCGTATTTTACCCTATTTACAACCCTTATCCTCCAATATCTCCATGAAATTCCAAGAGCTAGACAAAAAAATGATATTGTACTAGACTATAAAAAAGTCAAAAAATGCCACGAAAATGTTTTGAATTCCAAAATAAATGAGCCCAATCGTATTTTAGGCTCTTCACAGACCTTAATTTTCAAAATCACCCACAAAATCAAGAAATTAGACATCAATTTATATTATACTAGGTATCTGATCTAGAAACCCCCGAAAACTCTCCAAAACAACATTTTTTCCATCGCAAAACCACTTAAAACATCTCTGTCTTACCTCAGTGAAGTTCTTCATGCCCTTCATGATCATCTGCTGCTGTTGATCGGCCACATTTTTCTGATAATTGGCCAGGAGTCGGTCCGTGATTGCGCTTTGCGAGCTCTGCTGCAACTGTTGCAAGAGTGTCAAACTCTGATCGGCCAGGGTGGTTGGTGGGATTTGGATCAAGCTGTTGGTGTGTAAACTCGAGTTTCTGAGGAGCTCGACCAGATCCGGGTTGAGTTGCGGGAACCTATCCAACAACTGCTGGGTGGAGGCGCTTTGTTGGGCCTGTTTCTGCAGAAGTTGGGCCATCAACAGTTGTGGGGTGGGCTGAGTGGCCGGCGGCGGAGGTGCGGGCTGGGTGTGGAGCTGTTGTTGGAGCAACTGGATCTGGCGCAGCGCCGTGATCATGCGGTCCACGTTCGGCTCGCTGGCCATGCTCGCTTCGGGCAGAGATTGCGCGAGGGGCGGCTGGGAGACGGGCTGAAACGCCGACGTGCTCTGCACCAGACTGGGATGGAGGGCCGGGACACCCGTACTGGCCAGCGTGCGGACCGGATGAAAGGCGGAAGCGGCCGGAAAGGGGAGGGATTCGGCCGAGGGCGCGGCCTGCTGCTCCTGCTCCACCACTACCTCATTGTCCGACGGATTCTTCTCCGACATCGAGTGGAGCGGCGCGGCCCACACTACAAGCAAATCGTATTAGAGCTGACGAGAAAGCAACGCTCTCCACGCAAAATGTCATATTGTACCAGACAATGGTATAAAACGCTCGAAAAAATGTCAAGTACGCGATAAATACAAAGAAATTGGACTGTAATATAGTGCGTAGAATACTGGGAAATCTTGGAAATGTTGAATTTTACGAAAAATGAAAAGGAAATTTAGACATAAACATGTTACGTAATGTAATTACATTGGCCTCAATTCCAACGAAAACAATAACCGAAAAACCCGCGACTTATAAGATAATGACGTCCCACATCATTATAAAGGACATGCACCAGACAATCGAGACGAAGGAAAGGTCGGAAATATCACGGAAGTTGGACGTCTGCTGTCAATTGGGAGAAACGGCCGATTAGATTGCCGCAGGGCCAAAGCGTTCAAAAAGTCTCGAAGAGTATGAAAAAAGAGCACTTTTAGAGGGTGATTAGACATTCGTCAAGGTCGTCTCGTCATCTTATGCAATGAAAAAAAACTTTTTTGAAACTAATCGCAACTTCAAAAATAAATCAGCCAAAAATGCCGGAAATAAAACCAAAATATCCCGATGCTTTCTGCATAACGCGGAACAAAAATTCTCACAAGGAAAGTACTTCTATGGGGTATGGAGTAACAGGTCGAGTCATATATCAAAAACATCGTAAAACCTTTCTGATTCAGGATATGTAAAAGTTAGCTGCCTAATTTTGGTCTGTAAGGGTGAAAAAAATCCTCAGAAGTTTTCACGCAACACCACACAGATACCTTCTTGACAAAGTTTTTACCAAATCAAAAGCTTTGTTTTGAGCTAAAGTGGCATCTTGACAAGTCTTAAAATATCAAATTTGATTAATACGACACCTTAATTAGTAGTTCCAATATAAAAAAAGGGAATTTGTGTGGCGTTGCGAGAAAAGTTGTGAGGATTTTTTCGCCCTTACAAACCAAAATTATGCAGCTAACTTTCACGTATTCTGAATCAGAAAAATTTTGCGATTTTGTGATACATGACTCGACCTGTAACTCCATACCCCATAGAAGTACTTTCTTTATACTTTCATCATACTTCAAGTTTTATGGAGGCCAAATTTCATCGAAATCGGTCAAATACTTTTCGCGGAATGCACATTTCTCGACATTGTTTTAGGCCCACAAAAAAAGGAAATGGATGTAAAGAACGTTTTTCGGGCGGGATAAAAAGTCACAGTAAGTTGTAAAAGAAGTCCCGTCGGGCCGTCCCCGACTTCCTTCATATAAATTTTACTTTCGGCACGTAGTGCACTTTTAAATGTATATTGTAGCAGGCGCAAAAAGCCGCCGCCGTCACGGACCTCTACAGCCACGAAGAAGGGCTTAGAAATCGACCGTCTAATCTCGCGCCGAGAGGAGAAGTCTAATCGGCCGAGAATTTGGGATTACGTTATCATCGAATGCCCTCAGGGATAATTGAAATCTCAGACCCCACAGGAACAATTTAAGTCAACTCTGCGGTAAATACGGAGATACGGTGGGAATACGGAGATGAGACGCCGTCTACGACACTTGTTTGGGATTTGGAAGACCATTAAAGGGCAAAAGAGCACCTCCTATATCTAGTGTAATATCACAACTGCAAGTGTAAGACAGAATACAAAGTAATCATGGAGCAAGAGTAAACTGTGGAGCAGAAAAAGGTAGAATGAGCGTAATGGGTACTGTAGAGAGTGGGATTTGCACGCTAAAAATGGAATGACATTTCGGTGTGTAAAAGTTTGAAAACTACGTTTTTTACGCTCTTTGCAGGGCTGCCAAAAGAGAACTGTACCGTTGTAGCAAAAAAATACCGAAAAGAGCCAATTTTTCAGTTCTTTGCCAAGTATAATATAAAAAAATGGTCAGCGCTCGCGATATTCTTGGATAAAACTAATTTCATTAGTCGTATCAAGCAAAATACGAGTAAAAACAAGAATTGCAACGAGAATTCGGAATTTTCAGACCATTTTTTATATTGCACTTGGCCTTTCTTGCCTAGTGCAAAATAAAAAATAACCAAAATTCCGGGTTTTTTTTCTCATATCCAGCTAAAATACGCCAAGACAAATTAGCAGAAATAATTTTGAGGCATTTCCAGCACATTTTTTATATTGCACTTGGCCTTTTTTGCCAAGTGCAATATAAAAAATGGGCCGCAAATGACTCAAAAGTTTTTCGCTCCACACTTTGTCCGCTCCTCATGGCCGAGTGCATAAAAAGCACATCCCACGAGGGGCGTCGGAGGAGGAGCGAACGCCACCGTAGTGGCCGGAGACGCGTCAAAAACAGTAAACAACTAGTACAACAACAGGCGCCGATGCAAGCGGGAACGTGACTCTCGGGGCCGGCTAAATCAATCAAAGGGCGCCCGACTTCTCCGCCGGCTTTCTTCCATTGTTTTTCGGGCGCCGTGACGAATGTTTCTGCAGGGAGATCGCATCAATCGCGCCGGACGGGGATCAGTTATGAGCGGGGCGAAAAAATGGAGCGTGGAACGGCTGCTGCAACGTTCGACGGAGACGATTGGCGGATTAGAGATCCGTACAGGGCCCATCTGATTGGATAACATTGGATAATGTCGGGGAAAGCCCGTCGATTCGGAGAAAAATCTATTTTCGTGGGAAAGTCTAGAAAATATGTCAGTGCGATGGGAAAACTGCTAAAGACGTGTGGTTCAAGATGTGAAAACTTTTCTGTAGTCACAGAGTGGTCAAATAAACGTATGGTTTGAAATTTGGTTGCAAAATTTGGCCAATAAAAAGCGTCATCATGACGGATTTTCTGGAATTTTTCAAATCTCACTGTTTTGGACCAAATTAATGGTGTAAATCTATATTTAGTTCACCATTAGGTCGAACATACATGAATCATCAACTTTAGTGCCCTACTGAACAAAAAATTATATTGCACTAGACACCAGATAAAAAATGTTTAATTCTTTATAGTTTCTTGCTCTTAAATTAGTCCCAAAGACTTCCCCCATAAATTTTCATGTCCAAAAGGCATAGCCCATAATTCTCCGCCAAGTTGTGAGACAATTACCCTCCCATCGCCCGAGGCTATTTATAACGAACAACTGGCCGGCCCGGCGGCGGAACGGCGATAAATTCGCGGACAGAACGCAACATTGTCTGCACCGTGCCGATAACCCCGCTCCCCCATTGACGCCTCTTGGGGGGCGAAACAACGCAAGAAGAAACGAAAAAACTGGCTGTCAACGGGAAATTAATTAAAATCAAAAGTTTTTGCCGATTCAGGACTTTTTTCTCTCACTGCTTTTGCTTTCCGTGGTGTGCAAACAAGGCCGGAGGGGCGAGAAGGCGAACAGATAAGACTAGACGCAATATAAACAGGGGTCAAAGCGATGGGAGCGGGCGGCGTACGGTAGGTGGATGGAGAAAATAGTGGTAAACAACCGGCTCAGGAGCGGAAATTTGAAACATTCCGGGTCTAGACGAAGCGGCTGACTGCGGTAAACACACACGGCGGGATGGGAGTCTCGCAAATGCTCAAACACCAGGTTTAAAATCGAAAACATGACAAAGTTCGGAAAATCCGTCATCCATCCGTCGCAACGCCCTTGTTACAGTAGCCTCGCTGTTCAATTTTTTAAAACAACATCTCTAATGCGTGTCAAATTATCTGTCATAATCGGGAGGACGCATTTTTTCCTTTTTATGGATGTCATCATGACGTATTTTCTGGAAGTTCGCTTCGCAACGCCCTTGTTACAGTAGCCTGGCTCTTCAATTTTTTTAAACAACATCTCTATTGCATGTCAAATTAACTGTCATAATCAGGATGACGTACTTTTTCCCTTTTAAGGATGTCATCATGACGTATTTTCTGGAAATTTGCAATATCTCTCGATTTACTCCGCCGAAAACGAAAAAACACATTCATTGACGGAATAAGAGTATTTACGAGCTAGCAGTTAATAATGTAATCAAATTCTCGTCGTATCAACAACCCTAAAAGGATTACTGCCGCGATTTTTGTAATAAACATTTGCGACAAGGAGAACGGCCCTCCTCCCCAACGCCAATCATCCCCTAATCCCCTGCACTCTTACATCCCTCCTCCGAGGGAATGGATTTGTGTTCCGCGGCTAATTATTCATCAATATTCCATTTTTGTGCCCAGTGCAATATAATTTCTTCCACTACTCTCTTATTATCCCTCAATCTCGTTCTCCAACCCTCTCCCTGTCGCCCATGAACTCTGGGACGGCCCAATCGGCCCGAGGAGTCTCGAACACCTTTGGCTGTAAATACAATTACACGGCCATTACCGTAATTCACGGACCAAAAATTAGCCGAGAAGTGGGGAGGGGGGAAAGGGCCCGAAAAGTGGGCGGAGTCGCCTCAAATTGAGTGTCGATGCAATTCGCGAGGTAAAAAGTCGGGCCTGGCGAGCATATCCGCATCTATTTCGGGCGTGCAAACGCGAAAAAGTGACGAGAATTGAACTCGGAAAAGTTCCGAGTTCAGCTCAAAGAATAATTTAAAGCAGCACGGCCGCGGCGAACGCTCGCATTCCAAGACCTAATTTGCCTAAAACCGGCAAGAAATTCGGATAAAAACCGAAAATTTATATAAAAAGGCGGGCCAAAAAGTCTTGAAATTTCTGCACAGTGCGCCGTCGTGCATGAAATTTGCCGCGCACGGCAACCCAAAATAGAACAAAAATGTCTCCCGCCCACTTTTGAATTTCGTCCAAACGAAGTGTCAAAATTGGCAAAAGAAATAAAATAATTCCGAGAAAAATATTTTTCGGTCGGAAAACCACACGAAAATTCATTTTTGACATTTCGTTTGAATTCAACCGATACTAGGTGGGCGAAGCGCCGAAACGAGGCGGGAGACTCCCTGGGTTGCCGTGCGCGCGGCGACAAGAAAAACTCACGGTGCAATGCGACACTGCACAGTGCAAAAAGATTGCTTTTGAAAAGGGTAAACAACGCACAGTGCGCTCTTTTTTCGCACCCCGCCAATTTTTTTTCGCGCGACACCTTGTCGCAACGCCGAATTCATGCGCCCGCACGGTGCGAAAACATGTCAAGGCTTTTTGGCCCGCCCTGGCCTTTGGCTGCAAACTCTGCGGTTTTTTGCGGGGAAACACGTACCACGGATGTTCGTGAGATTATAATTTGGCGAAGTGGGGATTCTGCTGGCATTTTTAATGGACTACATTATTTACTTTCGGCCGCGAAGGACGTGAAAACATAAAAAATGGGGATTTACGACCAATTTTATATTAGAACCGATCTGAAAGAGTGTAAAATGTCGAGTCCAAAAACTTGGTCGAATACTCAAAGAGGTTATTCTATCATGAACAATAACTCAAAAAGTGAGGTTTTCGGGAAAGTCGCAAAAACAAAAAAAAACGTCCTCAAAGTTCAGAGAGCTCGGGAATCGCCGCCGGGAAAATAAACAGAGAGACCCACGGGTTGGGCTGAAGAGAGGAGACGACCCGACCGCATGCTCGAGACGTGGCTGCCGAGACAGCTGGAGGCACATGTTCGCGGAGAGCACGTCTTCAGCGCCGCCAAGTCGCAGGTCCGTCACATCCAAATGGGCGTTCGCATGAGCTTTGAGCTACAGTACTGAAAAGAGGAGAATTGAAAGGAGGAAGGCCCGATAATCCGACAAAATCCGATGATGCTGGAGATGCACGGTGCACAAACGAAAGGGGAAATTTGACGCACAGTGCAAGGAATCAAAAGTTTTTGGATTGCACTGTGCGAGGGGAATGGGAAGGCGCGACGAACAAAATGTTGCCATGAGAAATGAAGTGGAAAAAAATGCGACGAACAAATCCGCGATAAGAAATGCACTGTGCAGGGAATCAAAAGTTTGTTGATTGCACTGTGCGAGGGGGAATGGGGGAACGCGACGAACAAAATGTTGCGATGAGAAATGCAGTGTGCAAAAGCTGCGACGAAAAAAATGCGCGATAAGAAATGCACTGTGCAAAAACTGCGATAAATTCGGAGTGCGAAACTCGCGACAAAAAATGCACAATGCAAAACTCGCGACAAAAAATTCAAAGTGCGCGCTTCAAAAAACGCACAGTGCGAAAACTGCGACAAATGCACAGTGCGGAACTCGCGACAAAACATGCACAGTGCGGTCATTCAAAAAATCGAAATGCACTGTGCGAAACTCGCGACAAATCTTGCACCATGCGAACTCCCGAAATCCGAACAGTGCAAACAGAATTCTCCGAATGTCGCACAGAGCAGTTTTTTCAAACTTTCAGTGCACTGTGCGGGAGCCAAAATTTTCGCACAGTGCAGCGGCTCTTTTTTCGGCGCACTGTGCAAAAATTGTAGACCCCACCCGGCCCACCCATCGTATCTTACACTGTCGGGAAAGGGCCCAAATCTGCACAAAGCCTATAATAGAGTTGTATAATACAATAAACGCCGTGTACAATATTCCCGTCGCCATGGGAACGGAATGAAATTCCGCTGCAAAGGAAATCGAAAAAAAGTTAGAAAGGGCTACGGAAACGTGAAAAAGTTGGAATCTGGACTCCGAATCTGATTAACGAATTCATTGCCACGCTAAATGGCGACAAAACAGGTGAGTTTAAAGTCGCGGAATCTTTGTATAAAAAACAAAGTCAATTAGAAAAAGGAAGGAAAGAGGGGGGTCTTTACCAAGGAGAACACTTTTTATGCGGGAATCTGTCGGGAAAAGTGGGGGACAAAGAACCCGGATGTTGCATTAGCCCGCTCTCAGGAAAAAATAACGGTTTTAGGGGAATTTACATAAACAAAAATAAGTGACAAATTGGAGGAAATCTCGGAAGAATATCTGCAAAAAAATAATATTTGGAAATTCGGATTTTTGCAGCGGGAAAACTGGCATATTATTCTAATTATTAAGTGTAATTTCTTCATAAAAAATCAATTTTTTCCGCGCCAAATTCGCCAACATACGGCCGAAAATTTTTTCTCTGACCGTCTCTCCTCTTTTTCCATTGTCTCTCAAAAAAGATTTCCTGAATATCTAACTGCAATATGAGAGCTAAAAATTTCCGAAAAATACATGCCCTAAACAGTACAAGTGCTCAAAGTTTGAACCAAATCCGGCGTTATTCCCATTTTTTACAATCTCAATTACAGTAACCCAAAAAAAATTCTCTCATTTTTTGTTGGCAAATAGCTCAAAAATTCTTCGACGCGACTTTTTCGCAAATTAATTCTCGCCAAGAATACAAATCGAGTTAAAAATACGCCTTGATATACACCTGGACCCGGTCAAATTACCGTAGCCAAAAAAAAGTGGGTTAATTGGGAGGCGGTGTAAAATGACACCCAAAAAGACGTCGGTTTCTGTCGGTTCTGCCCTCGAAATTTATATTCAGGTGCCGGCGGGTGCTAAATATCACAAAAAATGCGAAAAAATTAAGGGATATTTAAATATTCTGACGCACGATAAATTAAAAATTAATTGCGAATTTTGGGGGGAATCGAATGAGGGTGGTGGAAATATTTCCACAGAGGATTCAAGGTGCCCTAGAGTTCATCATAAGACCTAAAAAATGGGATTTGTTCGAGTTATGGCGATTATATTACACTCGACATCTGATATCAGACATGATGACAAAGCCGCGGTAATTCGACTAATGGTCCCTGGCGATGATGGCGGCCCTTTTGCACGTATGCAAAACGCCGCTTAATCATTCCATTCACGCCACGAACGCATAATCGGCAACATCCGCAAAAGGCGGACGGCCCAAAAGGGCTTACAAGTCATCATCAGGGCCCTGCCCGATGCCTCGAGGCCATAATTTGCGGGGCCCAGCGAACAGCGAGCACGAAGAAAACGTCTGCACAGCGAATGCAACATGTCCGCCGCCGGCTTGTAGCGGGCCCCCCGAAATCTGCGCGCATTGTAGCCGGAGGGGGGCAACCTTGCATTCCGTTCGTACCCCATTGTGTGCATTGTGTCTCACCGACCAGACACGGGACCACGAGCGCCGCCGTCCTCGTCCTTTTTTTATGTTTTTCTCCCTTCCCCCCTATTACGGTGTTGCAAAAGGTTCTTCGCGGCGGGCGGAAAGAACGGAGGAAGGGAAAAAGGCACGCCGCCGACAAGGCGGCAGAGAGCGGGGAGAGGCGAGAGAGCGCGCCGAGAAACAAGCCGAGTGCACGGAACGGCGGGACGTTCATTATGTGGCGTTCTCTTCTTGCACCCCACTGGTTAAAGTGTCTGCCCGAAGAGTTTCCCCCCGCCGACTCGAAAACAAGTCGGATGGGCGCTGCCCCGAGCTGCGCCCGAGCCCGCGAACGAAACGGTTCGGAACGCCAAGAAAAGGCCATCCAAGGATTTGAGAGGCACAAAGCCGCGGTCGAAACAACGCCGGATTACTGTAGTTTTAATATTAGAACGGAGATTCCGGATTAGTCGATGAAACCCCGAAAAATGGCATTTTAGCGCGGTTTAGACTAAAGTTCAAAGTTTTTGACGTTCCACGTCACAAAGAAAGTGAATACAGAAATTTCCTTCTGGCCAGAACATCCGAGATAGCCGCAAAAACAGATCTATAAAGCCGATTTGCGATATCCACATTCATTTCCGAATAAAATCCAAAAATATTTTTTTTGGCGAACAAAAAATTTTGAGTGTATAAGTAAAATTTGTGCAGAAAACGGATGAGAAGTCGACGTTTTGTTCGCAAATTCATAAAATTGCCGGCGGAAATGGCCCAACTTTTGATTAACGAGTCTTTTTCCGGACTGCACCCTTATCACCCCCCGAAAAAAAACATTTGCCCCCCTTTGACGGATCATTTATGTAAAAAAGGACTCGACGCTTTTTCCAAGAAATAAAAAACATTTTTGGGGTGTGCAAAATTTTCTCCCCTCTCTTCCCAGTATTGTTTTGCTGTAAGATTGCGTTCCGCGTATGTCATGGAGACGTCGGTGCGGGCTCACTCACGGTCTCGTGGCTAATAATGTTTTTCCTCCGCCGAATTTTTTTCCCAGAAGCCCTCAGGGGGCCGAGTGTTTTCGCTCGAAATTCGGCAGACAGCCGGCCCCAAAGAGTTTCTTTGCGTTTTTTTTTGATGCGATTGTTTGTCCAGGAACGAGTAGGCGGCCCCAAAAACCGAGTCCAACGCCGTCCGCTTGACCAGACAGGAAATGGGCGCGGAGAGAGTGGGCGGTTCGCGGAGACGGCAGACATTTTTGAGGAGAGAGAGAGAGAGGGAAGGGTTACGGTGGAAACGTGACCGAAAACACGGCAAATTTGGGCCGAACCCAAAGATTTGGAGGCCGATTTGAATTCCTGTGCTTGGCCTTACACTTGAATGGAGATTATGACATTTGTGATATTGCACTTGATATTAGTGTCAAGTGTAAGGTTAAAATTGTCAAAAAACTAATCGCATAACCCGGGAATTGGTTCTCCAAAATTAAATTAGGTCTAGAAATGTCATCAGTAGCCGTCTCTAGTAGTATACGATATCATTTTATAAAAAAATCAATTTTTTTCGAAAAAATTCCAAAATTTTTATCTGCAATTTTTTTGCAAAACCGCAGAAGAACTACTGAATAACACCCCGCTTACCCAAAGCACTTCGACAACTCAACGTTGTAAACAAGTAAGACAGCCGGCTTCCAAGAATAGTACTTTCGCCCGGCGAAAACAATGTTTTTCATCGACTGCGAGGTCGAGGTCACGCCGAGTTTGCCCTCAATTTGCACTCGTATCAGATCCACATTCCCCGTTCCATGCGTTACAGTAATTGAAAGCGACACAAGTGCCGTTAATTTGGCCAAAAATAGAAAAAAAATATTCCGCAAGACGGATGACCTAAAACAACGAAAAAGTTTGCAGAGATGGCCCGAATCCGGCGTATAAACCGCCCCAGCAGGCATTAAATGTTGGCCCCAGCACTTTACAATCGACACGCACGAACCCAGTACATTGATAAACCCATAATAAAAAGGCCGGCGAAAGAGCGCGGGAAACGGAGAGAGCGGCAGAGAAATGGAAATATCGCGGCGAACGAGGAGAGCCGAGGCACAACGAGTGATTACGGCGGAAGAGAGGGCCGTCAGCGAGCGAAACAAAGAGAGCCCCGCCGTCGGGGCCGGACGAACGGCCATAGCCGGCTCGCCGTTTTTTTCGCGTCGTTCGCCTAATGTTTGGTCCGAAAACAACGCCGGGTCATGTGATCTTCGGGAAGAAGCGGGGTTTTGGAAGCGGCGCGGAGAAAAAATGGGGGAAGGCGACACGCGGAAAACAAAACAAAATCCCCACCCGATATTCCTATTTTTGCGGACGCCGGAAGAACATCAATCAGGTCATATGATCAAGGTGAACTTGAGGGTAGGTGTGAAGTGAGCAAAGCGCAGTGAATTTGTCGCAAACACGCATAAAAATTATATTGAAGACAGTCTAGGTCATTCTGAGGGGAAATGTGAAAAATTAAAGAATTCCGAAAAATGCGTCATCATGATTCATAAAATCGGAATTAATAAAGCAAATCTGCTTTTAGAATTTTTTGCAACTAGAACATGAGATTTTACATATATTTTGAATTTAAAACAGTGGTTTTTCCATACTCTAAAACCCGTCATCGTGACGGATTTTTTGGAAATTCCCGTAAAACTCGGGATTTTCAAACTCTTTTGAATTGTTTTCCACTCTAAATGTAAATCAAACCCAATAGAACACCCTATTTCCCCAAAACAGCCCTAAAAACTACCCTACAATCGAGGAAACTATTACTTTCCCACCGCCGATTACTTTTAGCCCCATAAATTTTTCGAAAAAGGGAGCGCGCTTCGAACAGTATGCACTGAACTCTGCTCATCCCTATGGTTACACACGCATTACGGATGCCCCCGGCTAAACGCCAGCAGACTCGCCAAGTTTCCGTTTGACCCGTATGTGCCATGCGAAAAAATTGGATTAAAAATAGATTGGCGGGTTGCGTGAGCGCCCATGATTAGCGCCGAAACCTGCTCAAAACGCCGTTTAAACTGTAAGTGTTTGGGCCGCTGCATTCATGAGTAATGGCGAAATAACACCGGTATTCTGGGAAAGAAAAGTTTTTATCAACTGTCTACTATTAGGTTGATTCAAAAGTTTTTCCACATGTCTTTAAAAAATTTTAAAAAATTTAGACCAAAGCCAGTGGGCCTGATATATATCTTGTTAGAAAGAGGGCTGTTTGTAGATTATAGTAGATTAATAACTTTTTACAACTTAGCAATTTGTAGTAGTAGCGCCGTGTTAAACCTTAACTACTCGAAGGAAGAAAAAGTAAACCGCCGGCGTTACGTCTAGAGTGGCTGTATCTTCTCAATATTCTAGAATATGGTATGCCTGTATGTGATCTCTATGGCATCGAGGACAATTTGCTATAGGGCTAGTCGAAAAATTTTTAGTGCGAAAAATCAAAAATTAGGGTCTGGCAAAAGTAGACCCTGTAGACGCAGCTATTAGAAGCACTAAGAGATAACGCTTTCTGTTATTGTAGTGTATGAGTAGCACTACAACGCCAACGCTAAACATTCGCGCTAGCTTTAGCTATGCGGCAGAAAAATCGAATCTTTCTAATCTACCAATATTTTACGAAATTTAGGGGATTTTTACAAAAACGTTTTCTGTTCATTATTCTCGCCCGGTATCCTAGCTATTTAATAAATAATTGATCCTACTTGACATACACTATCAGTTGCTAGACGCGCTAAGCTGAAGGTCCTCTTGCCATACCAGTAAAAAAAATACAAAAATTCGCCTAAAAGTGCAGTTTATGCTGCTTTTCTACCTTATAAGACAATTTCAGTTGGTGACTTTTTGAATGTATCATCAGCATACTGTCTTTGTACAACCTGAATGGCAGCCGAGTCAAAAAAATCTAACTCCTTTCAAAAAATTTTTAAAAATCTGCTTTTGATCGGTAGCTCGGCTCTCCGGCCAACTTTATGGGATGCTACAAAAAAAGTCAGTGTAGATATAAGTAGAGCAATAAATTCAGAAGAAACTACAGCCATCCCCAGTACGAATAACCCAAAACCCGAGACTTTTTAGTGGGCTGGAAAATTGCTAGGGCCCGGGATATTCACCATGACACAAACGGAGAAATTTTTAGTATTTTTGAAATATTCTGAAAGGAAGCTTGTAGAAAATAAAATGCTACGAATCAAAAATTTTGCAATGTTCTGCCCCATACATCTATGCTTTCAGTTTTAACGTACATTCAATCAGGCTCCAGAAATTTTATTTTGAAGTGTCTCAAAAAAATGTGGAAAAACTTTTGAATCAACCTAATATAATATACGAAAAAAAGATGTAAAAAAACTTGTTTATGCGGCTTTTATTAGGTTGATGCAAAAGGAATTGCGGATTTTTTAATTTATTCGTATTTTTTTATAGGATAGCTCAATTCAAAAATGGAAAAAGGTATATAGTAGTAAATTTTAAGAGGATTTTTTCTGTATATGTGCTATTCTTATAAAAGTTATCAAACGTTACCATAAGTTACCACGAAAGTACCCTAAACATGTTAGTATATTTTAAACCAATTTTTTTACATATTGTTTTGCGGCTTTATCCATTTTTGAAAATATTTTGATAAAATACGTTATATTCTATCAAAAAACAAAAAAAACCCCATTTTTGGCAAAGCGTTAAAACGCTATCCCAAAAATTCAAATTTCAGCAAATTTTACAAATCGTGTCATATCTTTTTTTTTGTAAGTCCAAAATAAAAAATTCTTTTTGCTTTCGATTAGTAACAACATTTTTAAGATTTTTGTGATAAAAAACATCAAATTCAAAAAAATTAATTTTTTGACATTTTTTGACCAAAAAATAAAATTCAAGATTTTGATGTCTTTTTTTCACGAAAGCCTTAAAAATGTTGTTACTAATCGAAAGCAAAAAAATTTTTATTTTGAACTTATTAAAAAAGATATGACACGATTTGTAAAATTTGCTGAAATTTGAATTTTTGGGATAGCGTTTTAACGCTTTGCCAAAAATGGGGTTTTTTTTGTTTTTTGATAGAATATAACGTATTTTATCAAAATATTTTCAAAAATGGATAAAGCCGCAAAAAAATATGTAAAAAAATTGGTTTAAAATGTACTAACATGTTTAGAGTACCTTCGTGGTAACTTATGGTAACGTTTGATAACTTTTATAAGAATAGCACATATACAGAAAAAATCCTCTTAAAATTTACTACTATATACCTTTTTCCATTTTTGAATTGAGCTATCCTATAAAGAAATACGAATAAATTAAAAAATCCGCAATTCCTTTTGCATCAACCTAATAAAAGGCAGTAAATTTGGAATAGAGACTGTAAAATATAATAGGCAGTAAACGTTGACATTTTACAACTATTTTTGGCACCTAAAACACAATGCCAAAAATTGCCCAAAAAC